ATGTTCTGACGTTAAGTAGAATTGAGTCTTCCCAGACGTCTTTCAGAACAACATGCCTGAAATGCCTGTGTTAGTGACTTGTTTGTCTGTGGCTTAAAGACGTTTACTGGAAGATTAGGGGCCTGCCTCCAAACAGCATATAATGATGCAGCTAAATACAAAGTTTCCTTGTTATAGTACATATCCTGCAAATCATACATGAAAAGTGTGGGATTTCCTCATCTTAGCATTATCCCAACCTGACCAAATTTTTCCAGTCAGTAAAGTTTGTCTGGATTTTCTTTGACATTGGAGAACCAGCTGCAGGTGTGCTGTCCAGGAAGGGATTTGTATTGCACACTGAATAGTTATTCTGCCATCATATGACCACATTTTGGTGTCAACTGCACCATATTTCATTCTTTGAGAAGAAAGCCTCAGATTGACCCTGTGCAGTGATATAGAAATACCAAAACAGAATTGTAGGAAGGAGGCTGATGTAATAGTTACTGTAAAAGGGAAATGCAGCATATTTAAGGCACGTTACTTAATAGGAAGGGCTTGTCATCATTCCAACAATATTGACTTTTTTCAATTCAAACAGTAGGTTCATCTGCACCAGTTTTTGTGTTTCCGTCTGCTTCACAGTGATTGAAAGCACAGATGAGGAAAGAACATGAACAGTGATTTAATTAAAAAAAACATTACATCCAGGGACTATTCATTTAGTGAGTTATCAGTGAGCAACATCCTATGTATAAGACACACTCAGACAGCTCCCTCATACTCCGAGCATGTGTAGCAGCTGCTGGACTGCCGAGCACACACTCTGTCATTATGGAGAGTTGTTGAGCGCAATTTGTTCTTACCTGGTTACAGGGCTGCACAAGCTGTCTGCCTGACTTGCTTGTGCTGCCTTTCTGCTCACTGGCTGCACACAGCAAGAAAAATGTAATTGCACTGAATGGCGACAAAGCCATTGATTGTGTTGTCAGAGATAGAAGGTTGGATTTTTCATGTGAATGACAAATATATTGTTGCTTGCACAATAGATTGCAACTAATCTAAGCTGTGACAATTTCAAGAGTGTTTATCAGTAAAAGCTCATTACTACTGGCATCTCTATGACCCATTCATTGGAGATTTGAAAAAATCTGCAGTATTACTGAGGCAATTCAGGCTCCAGCTTGCAGCCATTTGATTAAAAATAGGTTTAGAGTCATATTACAGATGTTTAAAATAGTTATAGCAGATTTTAACTATAAAATGTGGTAAATGACAATATGCAATGTGACCGGGATGTCTGGTAGAGATGAAACTGCAGCACCACCTGGCTTGACAGAGCTTTACACTGAGCTTTTGCCCACTGCTCAACTGCCCGTTGTGTACATTTACTGTTTTAGGTCACTGTGATTGCTGTCATAATGTAATTTTCAGTAGCAACAGGCAGCTGTTTTCAGCAGTGCAAAAGCTGGAAAAAAAACCCATATAGATTACCTGCGTAGTGTTAGAAAGCATGCAGACGCAATTAGCAACAACCTGGTAAACATAGTGGAGCATTAAGCAGCTAAAGAACCAGGTGTTTTCTTCAGGAGATGATGGAGACGACAGTGTAGGCCATAAGCAGCAACAAAAAAAAAAAAAGAAGAAGAATTTTAGACTTAGTCTGCCAGAAGCCCAGAAACATAACAAACAAATAATAAGGTTTGCTCCGTACCTGCTGGTTATATAAATAAGCTACTTTTACCCACATGTTCACCATATCCCATTAAATGGGGATGATGTAAATGCTGCCTGCAAGCAGCCAAAAAATATATGCACACACCCTTCCCCCCAAAGAATATGTCTTCATTTCATAATTAGGTTTTTTTATGGATTTATTTTATCACGTCACTTTACATTCCAGTGGTGTTGTCAGCAGCTGCTCACGTTTCAACCAATCACGACTCCCACCTCATAAGAGAGCAAGTAGGTACTGCTGCCAGATGTTGTGAGGTAACATCTGAGAGGAAAAAATAGTTCTACTAATCATCTGACAAGCAAGGGCTGCAAGGTGGCAGGTTGCAGCAAGAAGATCGCCGGTTTGCGTCCCGGTGAGGACACCCGGGATCTTTCTGCATGGAGTTTGCATGTTCTCCCCGTGCAGCGTGGGTTCTCTTCGGGTTCTCCAGCTTCCTCCCACAGTCTACAAACATGTTGGGGTTAATTGGTGATTCTAAATTGTCTGTAGGTGTGAATGTGAGTGTGCTTGGTTGTCTGTCTCTAAGTGTAGCCCTGTGATGGACTGTTGACCTGTCCAGGGTGTCCCCTGCCTTCGCCCTAAGTCAGCTGGGATAGACTCCAGCCCCCCTGTGACCCTAGTGAGGATTAAACAGTGTGGATCTAACTAGCTGCTTCTATAAATAAACAACGATAGTCACTAAACTATTTTAACGTTGTCACATCATCTAGCTTATTTACCAGCCTGGCTGGCTTGTGAGCTCAGATTGTTAGTCAGCACTAAAACGAAGAGCCAGCGTTGGTGAAGACAACCTGCTTAGTCAGCTTTGCACATGTGCAGTCTTGTTAAGACAAATAAATAAATGAAGATGCTCGCTTCTGTGCCTGTGTTGTTTATTTGCATCAGCTGCTTCTAGTTAGTTGATTTAGAATTTCTTTGGCAAGGGCTAAGCTAACAAGGACTAAGTGGTTAATTCTGGAAGCAATTAGAAGCGTAAGAGACAGATTTGGGTATTATAATAACACATTATTAGATTACACAACTTTAAATCTCATTATGTATTTCCTATGTATTTAATTTTCAACATATGGGGCTATTGTTGTGTCAGCTTAAGATGTACACTGAGATGTGGGTTGTGGTAAGTTATCTTTGTTGCATCAGTAAAGTAGTTATGACATAAAATGCATTGAACACACCACAGTAAGTACATGACAGAGTGGTGGTGGGGACAGTTAGTTCAATGAAAATGAATGGAGGGCCTATGGCCATGACAGCATGGTAATTTACACATCAAAAATCTTGACAGAAATGCTTTCTGTTGAAATTGATTAACCACTTTTACAGTCCTGCCGGTGATGTATTTGAAAACATGGTGATGTTGTTTGTGTGATTTATACATAGATGTGCTCGTTCAGCTCTTTCTTGTGCTGCACTGTGTTTCTTATAGACCATATAGACCATATAGTTTTCAATCATTCTCTCTAAAGCGGGTTAATGCTAACCTGACACTGCCTCCTGATTTCATGAAGTAAGGTGAGACTTGTGTGAACATTGACAAACGACTAAAAGCCTCAACACTTGCTTCCAGACATTCAACGTTCAATAGAGCAGATTGCCCCCTTTAATTTACCGTCTGACCTCTGTTAGATACAGAGCAGAGCTGTATTGAGAGTTTGGAACATCACTCACCAAACACAAAAAAAGCACACCTTTGTAGTGTATTCACATTCACACGGACAATACTGTGAGAACAGTGAGGGCTGCAGAAACAAAACCAGGCATGTGAATTGGCATTGTTGCTCATCATCGAGTTCAACAGCAAGTCAAGAGTTATCAAGAGTTAATGTGATTCTTTATGTAGGTATTTCAGCTTAGTTATAAAAAAAAAAAAAAAAGATCAGGTAATTAAAATAGCTAAACGTCAGTTGATGTTATTCTACTGTAATAAACTGTAATAATATTGAGGTTTCACATTCAGCAGTGGCTTGAAAATATTTACTCATACTAACAACAGCTGCTGCTGTTTAAATTGGCTTTCATGGCACAGTCAGTCTTTCAGTGGTGGTGTTCCAGCTTCTGTTTTGCTTTTGGCTGTGAGGGTCTGCGCCTCACAGCCCAGGTCTTAAGCTTCTGCTGTAGCTCCAGCAGCCACCTTCAGGCTAGTTTCAGTACTTCAGTGGTGAAAGGAGCTTGAAGGGCTCAAATCTGAGGCTGTGATGACTTACAAATGAGGTTCTTCAGGGTTAATATGGGTACTTCAATTATTTCAATTGCCCAGCAGGAGATGAACTGAATTTGAATTAAATTAAGTGTATTCAACAGTCACAATGCACTTATATTATCATCAATACAATGTAAATGTGAACAAAATTCAGTCCTCGTGTATATAAGTGTTATGCAGATTGATCTTCATCATGGTGAAATATTGTTTTCATGTTTATCCGAGAAAAGACCTGTGACTCACTTAAGATACATCCGTGAAACATTTCCTTTTGAAACATTGATTCAGTAGAACTGCAACATTTCCCGAAAATCTAAGCACACAATGAATGCTGGGAAGTATGCCAAAAACCTAAACGTTTCAGACAGATCTAATTTGACAGAGTAGTGAGCAATCAGCAGGACATTAATTAAGCTTCAGTAAATCAAACAATTTGAACTCATGATTGTAGTACAAGTTTGTCTATACACAGCCAGGTGTTTTCACAGGTGTGTGGGTATACACATATACTATATATATATATATATGCTGTATTTGACTTACACTTACGCTCATGTATTTAGACCACAGACACTTTCCACAGGAGACAATTTGACGTGTTAGTCGGTAAATTACGGATGAAAATACCTAAATTAATGAAAGTTGAATTGATTTAGCCTCTTCTTCAGTTTCAGGGTTCCACTGGCATGACTTACTGGGGCACTGGAATATAATATTAATGTTATTAGCAACACCTGTGTTTGTTCCTGTCAAGTCAACAGGTCTGCCTTTTTTTTTTTTTTTTTTAACTAGTTCAGAGTTTGGTAGCATCTTGTTATTCCATCATCACTCAACTCAACTTCAACCTGACTCGAGGTTTAATTAATCAGAGCAAGTGACAACGTGTTTGATTTTAACTTTGCCTGATTTGCCTGATTTGCCTGATGATTAAATTCTTCAGTGAAAGCAACACTCTTTGGAAAATTTGTGCAGGCAAATGTGGAAAGCTTTTTTTTCTTTTAAAGTGTCATTGAGTCCGGACTGTACTTCTGTGAAAACTTTGCATCAGTATCGTGTTTAACTATTGTTTCCTCGTCCCAGATCTGTCGTCTCCAGAGGCACCTGTCCGCCGGGGAGCACCAGCAGGACCTGTTCCAAGGCCAGCCAGCCATGTTTGTGTCCCAGCACGCCCAGCCGCCCGCTCAGAGTCTGGTGGAGCTGATTGAGCTCTGTGGAGGGACAGTCTGCAAAACTGTGCGGCAGGCTGGCATCTGCATAGGGAAGTACAGCGGCAGGAGACCAGAGGGAAGCAGGATCCTGTCTGAGCAGTGGGTGCTGGGTAAGATATGCTCTGCTATGCTATGCTATGTGATAAATAATAAATTCTTTCATCATGACACGAATAATTGTCTCTCTCATTTTGTTTCAGACAGTATCACACATCTGAAGAAGCTCTCATATGATAGCTATGACTTGGAATGACAGCTGCCGGATTTTTCTTTGACTGTGAAGTTTAGTTTTATGAATATTATGCTGGACAGTACCTCATCATACAATATGCTCTCATTGCAGCCACACAGCGTTCCTCTTGTGCAGGTTTATCAATTTGCTTTGCAAATATGTTCAGGGGCTTTACATAAATTCTCACAAATAGTCTAATTTCAAAGACTTTTAGTTCCTGGTTGCTATGGAAACCTGTTACTTCTCAGGACTATCGAATATTCAGAAATGGTCGACTGTGAAACATGGAAAATGGCTTTGACAGTCTGTATGTCGATCCCTTATCGTTTGCATTTCTTTCAATAAAGTAGCAACCACTACTGTGTCATGGTGTGTTTTTCACACAAGACTGTTTTTAATTTCTAACAATGTGATTTTAGAAGGAATTGCTGAGCCACTTCAGGACAGTGAATATTGTATGCTTATAGAAATTTTTGTGATGTCACTTTTAATAATAAAAAAATAAAAATAAACATTTTGATTTTGAGCTGTGGTTCTGTTATTTTGTGTCAAATGATTAGGATTTGAGAATCAAGGTCACTAATGAACACATTCTACAGACTTTCTCTAGACTAAAACTTGGGATTTATTTAAATGTGTCTGAGTTTTTTTCTTTCTTTACAATCATAGCATAATGAAAATACTGCCCTTTCAACAGCTTGATTTCGAAAACAGATTAGTAAGATGGTTCAGTCTGACAAGTGTATTCAGAGTTCACTTGGCATGGTTACTCAGTTAGAGATGATAAATAAAACCTGATGTATCACAGCTTGTATTCACTGTTTCTAATTACTCAGCAGAGATGCAAAGAAACAACTTTACTTGAATACTATAATTAAATTGTGCAGAGATTAAATGTACCAGAACTATACGATATAATTAGTCATTTTTACAGTTGTTACTATTTCTAAAAAAAATAAAAAATTCTGCAAGACTTTAATATGATAAAGTATAATGCACAAAAAGAAACCAACAGAACAGTGCAGTGAGTCCTTAAATAAGTGAAGAACTTAACTGCTGTGCATTTTGCATGTAAAGTTTACTGGCCTCCTTGTTATTTTACCTACGTTTAGATGTCAGTTCATAAGGCCGAGGCTGGCAAAATAAGGAACTGTAGCAACATGTCACTTAGAATAAGCACAGTGTATCTGATAGTATACAGGACTATCCCTCACCTCTGTTTTTCTTGATCTTAACTGTGGCTCTAAATCAGGCAGGGTAATTACCGTTACAATAATGATGAAGGTTCCTAGCCTTAATATTGAAATTATTGTCAGGTTAAGTTGTGTTTTACCTTGTTTTTGTAGGGTTTTAATCCTCAACATTGAAAGTACTCTGGTAAATGTACACCATCAATAACACACTGGAGTATTAACCTCAATATTTGAACTTGTTAGGTCAATTTAAAATTGCAATCTTATTATTTATTTATTTATTTGTTTTTTACTGGGAAGCAGTTTGGCACAACAGGGTGTGTTGCTTTAAATGTGCTATGTAAATAGCAGTGACTTGACTGATTTTTCAAAATTTCAGATACGTGCAGTCTTTGCTGTTTAAATGTCTGTTCATAAGGCTTTGTAACAATACTTGTGCATTTGCATTCTAAGTATGATCTGAGTTTATTGTATATCGTCCCAGATAGATAAATGTAAGAATATAAATAATCAGCATGACATAGTGCAGAGCAGCTTGTGGTAAATGTGTAAAAATCGAGGCAAGTGCTGCAGTAAAAAGACGGTTCGGTCCTTTAATATCAGAACATACGGTTCCCATGGTGCTCCATCGCTCATTGGCTGCTCCGTATTACGTCTCTCGGCCAATCAGCTGCGTCGTTCTTACAGGGTGTCATTACGTAGGGAGGCGTGTGTGACATTTGCTGCAAGAAGCTAGTTTGTGAACAGCTAGCCGGATAAAGATGAAGAACACAGGAAGGAAATAGAGAATATTTTTCCTTTTTAGCAGCTGAGCTGATTTTCGGGTTGGACTTTGTAACCGTTCCCACGTTAGAGAAAGCAGTTTGTGTCAAATGTAGCGTTGTGTAAAACTTCCTGTCCTGCCGAACACGTTTATTAGTCGGCTAACGCTTTTTCATAACTTATACAGTAAATGCAGGGAGTTCGTGCTGAGGTCTTGTTCTGGTTCGCTGTTCTGAGATGTTGATACTAACCAGATAACTGTAGTTAATTTTATATATTGCACTATGGGTTCACGTTAAGCTGACTTGGCAAACTGCGTTTTGCACACAAGGTTAAAATTAGCTTTAGCCAACTAGCTCCTCACTCCCTTCTTGCTGCAGCTTCCTGACTTTCTTATGCTGACTTGTCAGGGCAGGTGTGCTGAAAGTAGGCCAGGTGTGCTGTGGGACAGATAGGGTGCACTGCAACTTAATCATAGTGTTCATTGAGTGTAGTCCAGCAGTATACTTCAGGGATTTTTGTGGAGCCAGAGGTGGAATCATGCTGCTGTCTTTGGTTGTGCACACTTACTCGCTGCGGTACTGGTTTCCAGCCACCATCATGCTGGGAACAGCACCAGCCTATCTGTTGTCATGGGGGCTTTGGCGCGCACTGTCAACTGTTTTCCCAGCGAGTGTGTATCACAAGTTAGACGACCGACTGTACTGCATCTACCAGAGTATGGTCCTGTTCTTCTTTGAAAACTATACAGGAGTTGAGGTGAGTGATCTTTCACTTCCTGTTTGTAGACTTACAGAAAATGTGTTTGATAAAGACTGAACTGATGTCAGCATGACACCATAACAACAGCTGCCTCTGAATGTCTATGCTTAAAGACTTTGAACTTGCAGTAAATATTGCATTTGGAACCCAGGATATTGTGTTTGTTGAGGGTTTCTATATATGTTGAGAGTCTTGCAAAATAGTAAATGTAAAATGGTCCCAAGCTGAAAAGCAAGATCAACCAGATGCATGACAAGAAAGTCTTCATTCTTTTGCCACACCTTGCACAATTTGTGTAACAGTACTTTGGAGTGTGTGGGCGAAGACAAACAATACTGGTGTAGCTGATAAACTTTATCTGTGATATGCTTTTATTAATTCAATAAACTGCCTGCAATGTTTCACCAACGAGAGGCTACATCGGTAGATTGTTCTGTTTAAAAAAATAAAAAATAAAACAAATCTCATGGGTTTATTTTAATGGGCAAAGTGGATTTTAACTGGAACTAAATCCTTAACACAGTTCAAATATTTACCAAAACTAAATAAATGTTTAGAGCACTGTGGAAAAGTTTTGCAAACCTGCTTTTTTTCATTTGTAATATCTTTACCTTGCTTTTATTTCTTTCTCCGTAGATTGTTATATATGGAGATATACCAAAGAACAAGGAGAATGTGATCTACCTGTCAAATCATCAATGTACAGGTAATGCATTTGAATATGCTGCTTTAAAAGCTTAGTCCAGTGTGAAGCGCAGTAAGAAATATCTAACCTCTGCTTTCCTTGCAGCTGACTGGATCATTGCTGACATGCTCGCCATCAGGCAGAGCGCTCTCGGTCACGTCAGATACGTCCTTAAAGATGGACTCAAGTGGCTCCCGCTTTACGGATGGTATTTCTCTCAGGTAATGCTACTGTGTGAGTATGAGAATGTCATTTTTTTTTTTTTTAAGATGTAAAGATTAACCTGAATCACATTCACCCATCACACCTTCTCATTGGGTGGCCTTTTTCTTTCAGCATGGTGGAATCTATGTGAAGCGAAGCGCAAAGTTTAATGAGAGGTCGATGAAAAAGAAGCTTCTCACTCAGACTCAATGTGGGGCACCAGTAAGTATACTTTATAAGCGTTCTAAATTAGTCTCTTGGCTACATGCTTGTCTGTTCTCTTCTGTAAGGTAGAACAGAGGACAAGACGAGGATGTAAAGGGCAGATCTCAATGTCTTCAAATTGAAATTCATTTCAAAAAGTTCAGGTCATTTTAAAACCGTGTGTGTGAATTTAGCAAAGTTCATGTAAGTGTTGTAGCATCACTAACATCTGGTATTTATTTGTAATCTCATGCCACATCTATAAAATAGTGAACTTATGAATAAACCATCAGCGTTAAAGCTACAACAACTTGTACGAAAGGTGCTTGATTGCAATAAAATGAATGAATAGTTTTTGTTCTCCAAAAGAAATACTTTTTATTCAACATATAGTTATGACTTTGACATAAATAGTTTGAAGCAGAACGTCTGATGACGGCAGCACCAATGAGATGAAATGGAGAATCAGACATTTGGTGCAGAAAGGTTCAATTGCAGTGTGTGTTATTGTGTCGAAGGGGCTTTTTTTCTAATCGCTTTTTTGGATTTGACTGTGGGGGATTAGTGAGGAGTGTGTGTGTCTGTGTGTGTGTTTCACTGAAATAGTCCTGGTGACCCAAAGCTACAACTGTGAAAGCTCTATTGTGAAGTTCAGTGCTCAGAGTTGATCAGTTGTCACAATGACCACAATCTGGAAAATAATAAGACTGAGGTTGGGAAGTCTACTTGAAATCTAGTACTCATGAGTATAGACGTTCTTCAGTGTTTCAGCTCGACTGAAATAATCAAATCCCACTTGGCAGTTGGTGCCAGTAATTCAGATACAAGTTCCAAATGTAATTAATTGCTGTAGAGATGTTGAAAAAGATGATTTGCAGAAGCTAGAGAAATAATTTTTTTAATATACATTATCAGTACTTGTCCTTATGTAAAGGATCAGAGGGGTTAAACATGCTGGTAGCTGTTGACCTTCAACCAGGCGAAGGACACAATTTAAGACCTGAGTAGCAGTTTTAGTCTCCATCACCAAAACCTCAGTTTTCAGCTCAGTTGCAACTCAAACTGCTTTGGTATGAAGCAATGAAAACAGTGTATCCAGTTTTCTCTGTTGCATATTGTAAGTTCAGTATAATGTTGTGTTTCCAGGTCTCTTGCCCAACAACATCTGTAAATGTTACAATTTTATTTTTTTTTGTCCAGTGCACTAAGAACTCACACTGAAGCTTTCATTTTATGTTTTTCTCCCACAGATGTACCTTGTCATCTTCCCAGAAGGAACTCGGTATAATCCAGAGCTCAAGAATGTTATCGCAGACAGTCAGGCTTTCGCTACAAAAGAAGGTAGAGGCAGCAAGGCAGCCATTTACTGCTGTACTGCTACATACTAATTCAATACAGCCCACTAAGTCTGTAAGACTGCTGACTAAGTTCTGCTGTGTGACCTGTAGTCACCCTTGCAGGCCTTATTAAACTCTTGATTCCAGTTGGGTTTTCAGTTTACATTGTGTATTATTTTTTTAGAATATTATATTAGAAAAGTTATGAACTGTGTAACAATGTGAAATTTGTGTAGAATTGAAGGGAAGAACTGGATTATAACCTCAAAAACTTATATAGGTATATTAGCTGTATAATATACTTGTCTAGTGCATTAAATATTCATTCTTGTGCAGCTCAAGTTTTTAATGAATAACTTGCTGGTTGATAATAGTAGAAGTAGTGCTCACTCATACTACTATAGAGACTGTTTTTAAAGTGATTTATTTGTGAGGTATTTTCGTACCACGAGGAAGTAAAATGAACTGAATTACATAGTGCTTGTATTCTAGTAGAATGTAGTTTTTCAGTTTTATAACTAAATACGTGACATGTTGCATCTGCATAATTATTATGACGCTATTGTGCAGCGCGGGGGTTTAGGTCTGCTCACAAACTGCATCGATTCTGCAGAGATTAAGCCTATCTCTGGGCCACAGCTCTGAATATCACCTTCCCCCATTAATCCAAATAAATCGCTCTGGAGAGCCGACATGTGCACATGACATTATCTGCTATTAGTGAGGTATTAGTGAGCGGAGGATGGTGCGACATCCAACATTGAACAACAGACTGTGTGGCACTGAAACAAACACAAGCATTCACATAGAATGTCGGTGTTTTTTAAAACCATGCATTTTTAATTTATTTAGAATATTTTGTGAGGGACTTTTGCGCTTATTTTGATAGCAGACAGTAAAGAGTTGACACAAGATGAGGTGAATAAGAGGGAGATGTCATACAAAGTTTCCCAACCAGACTGAATTATATGAGTTAAAGCTCCATCATCAGGACACACTGGTATTGTAATTTTAAAGACTGGCTATCAATACCACTGTTGCACAGGCTGATATGGAATGGTTTATATTCACACATTATTCATGAGTTTATTAGAGCTGTTGCATGTTTTTGGCAGGTCTGGCTGTTCTGAAGCACACCCTAACACCCAGAATGAAGGCGTCTCACATAGCCCTCGAGACCATGAGGGGCCACCTGAACGCTGTGTACGACATCACAGTGGCCTATGAGGGAACGCTGAACACCTCCGGTCAAAGAACACCTGCACCATCGATGCCAGGTAAGCAGGCGCTTGATCTTCCAAACCAGAGGTTCCTGAAAATGATGCACATCAGACCATGCAAGACTTTGCCTCATAACAACTTTTGGATTTAAGCCTGGTCTTGCGGAGGGATTTGCATCCAGATTTCTTGCATTAATGGGTTAAAAACAAACAAAAAAAAAAACATCTTTCTGGTGTCTGCAAATAGAATGTAAGGGAAGCTGTAAAAAAAAAAAAAAAAAAAATATATATATATATATATATATATATATATATACAAACAATTTTGTTGTTTATTTGCCTTTAAACAGTTCTGCCCATTCACTGCTGTTTTTTTGTTTTAGTATTCATGCTAGCAGTAAATTGGTGAAAACAACACGTTATTTTTCCAGCTGCAGTCCTTATTAGCACCAAACATTGAAATGTGTTCTGTATCTGGATATCCTATGTGGATAAAGAAGCATATGTGCCAATGCAAGGTGTAAATGCAGCAGAATGCATGCGGATCAGCCAGACCACATCTGGAGGTGGGTAGATTTGCATTGTAATCCGAGTCAGGTGTAAATGCAGTCTAGTGCAGCTCTAGCTCTTCCCTCGCAGAGAGGGATGTAAAAATGGCATTGCTTTGTTTGTCCTGGAACTCGCCACCCTTGTTGACAAATCCAGCAGCTCTGCTAAGACTAATTTCCATATTGAGATTTGATCGCTAACGAGAACCCATCTTAACACCGTGTGTAAATTTAAAGGTCAAAACAAAAAGCAAGTTGTAGGTGTCCAGTTTTGCCACTAATGACCACACACACATGAAGTATGTTTTTTGATTGGATCCCCATCAGCCCCCGTGTCATATCAGCAATTATATTTTGGGGTCCACATCATGGCTGCAACCCAATTATCTTCATCAGTGATTATTCAGCCAACTATTTTCTTGATTATTAGATGAATCATATGTTCTAGAAAGATTAGAAAAATAATGAAAAATGTCCATCTCAATCCTAGAGCCTAAGATGAGGTCATCGAATGTCTGAGCAAAACCTTAAAATTTTCAATGTCAATTTTTTTGGCATTTTGCCTGAAAAAAACAATTAATCGGTCCCAAATACAGTTGACAACTGTTGTTGCGTTCTACCAGTGGGCTGATGGATCGTTTGTTGCAGCTCTGCACACTTTTTAATGCTTACTGTGCAGTTGCTGCCACCGGTGTTTATCAAAGCTGCCCGTCTAATGAGAATGTCCCCTGTTTGTACACTTTTGCAAATGTTGCCGTGTTTTTTCATCAATTATTTTGGTATTTTTTGTCAAACACTGAGGACAACTCTACAGGACACACATATATTTATAGGGAGCATGTGGGAGGTGGGACTGATACAGATACTCTATCATTAGGCTCGCATTATTTTAAAGCAGAAGCTTGTAATTGTAAAATGTACACGCATAGAGAACCGAAAGTTGTTAATGAAAGCTACTGTATGAGAATAAAAAGTTAATACAAGGTATCCAACTGGACTGAAATGAGCAGTCGGCTTCACTTTCCAGCAGCCGGCTTTTGTGGAAAGTTCTTGAGTTTGACATCTAAACATACAATAAAAGTAAATGCAACATTTCACCCACTGAGCAATAATAATCTAAATAAGGACACGGTGCAATTTCACAGAAATTTTTCTGTAAACTCTTGTACTTCTTCTAGAAGGAGAAAGTGTCTCTTTATATCAGTGCATCGTGTGCTGCTCTTTTTCCTCCTGCACTGTGTTTGTCTATCTGCTGCTGCAACACTGAAAATTTCCCCGCTGCGGGATCAATAAAGGTTTAATCTATCTATCTATTTTATATATTATGCATGATAAAAGGTCTTAGGTACAAAGTCAATAGTACCGTGACAGACTGAAAAACATCATCAGAAATTTTGAGTGCAGCCTTTCTATATATTGCTTTGAAAAAATTATCTTATAAGAAAAGCGTTTTTTAATTGGGGTTTATTATTGCGGGGGATTTGTTTTGTTTTTTTTTTCTTGGAGCCCTTAAGGACATTTTACAGCAGATAGAAATACAGTTACTGACTGTCAGCTAACAGCGTCTCCATTGTCCCTCTTTCTTGTTTATCAGCGTATCCAAAAACACACATCGTCTTATCAACCCTGCAACCTTGTTTACGACAGAATGACCCGATATCAGAGTGGTTAGAACACATACAAATCAAATGTCCGGTTTCATTCCCAGCTGTCTGAACCATTTGCTTCATGTCATTCCCCTGTTCTGTCTCCCCGTATTTCTCTCCAATGTTACAGTCCAAAAAAAGGCATAAAATGCCCCAAAAATAACCTTTAAAAAACAAACTTGTGTACAACCCTCCGGTCCTCCGGCAATTAATCACAAAGCAAACATCACCTATTAACAGCCATGCCTTCCTGTAAACAGCGTGACTCTATGTTTTGAAATCTTTGATTATTCTGTCTTCCCAGTTGTTCGACGAGCGCTGTTTGAATGTGAAGAAAAAACATCCCGTTTCAGTCAGGAATAAACATCGATGTGTTTCTAACAAACAGCAGAGAGAATAGGAAAGCATTCCTCTCATCACGCACTTCCTGGCCTCATGTGGTGAAGGTGACTTTAGTGATTTCACAAGGAGGTGGAAGTGACTGGAGGCTGCTTTCACGCCGCAGCTACAAGAGTCCAAACACTGACAAATGGTTCTCATCAGTATGAATCATCTCAACCCATTGTGATGGAAAAATATTAGACCCGGAGGTGTGAGAGAAACATCCCTTCCTTATGAACCAAAGCACACACATCAGTGGTGCAGGGCTTTTTGCTTGAATTTTTAACATCACAATGCATGTTTTTCTCCAGTAATGTTTGTGTCCTGCATGCGAGACAGATGTTTGAAAAATCTGATTCAATCCTATTAGAAATTACTGTTGAGAATAACGATTTTAAACAAGTACTTTAAGTTGTACTTCTGTGGTGAGTAATCTGAGTCAGTGTGTGGCTAAGGAAGTTGTCTTGGTGGAAGGTAATCATGTGGGACATGAAATTTAGAAACACAACTTCCTTTAATTTTGCCAATAGTTTATGTGATTACAGGAACGAAATTATAAACTTTAAATAGCTTTTTTCCATGTGGATTAAATATCTGCGTCCAGTGTGGGAGGAAATATGGGCAGCTAAAGCGATGAGATGAGTTAGCATACTTCTCTATCTTCATTTCTATATGTTTTAATTGAAACATTCAGTGCATTCTATAACTCAGAAAGTATAAATTCTTCCCTCCAGTTCTCGCTATATAAACTATTGCACCTCTCCAAAAGCTTCCTGATCTCCTATTCATATGCAAGATATTAAAGATTCCTTCTGTCTGATGTTCGGGTTTGTTAGAATTTATTAAAAGGATTTCGATCGTGAGGTGTTGTTTGTCTGAGCAAAGAGCCGAGTTCCTTCATGTGTTCCAGGTGGTTGTTTTTCAAAGTGTGTTTTGGAACATTGTTCTGCTCAAACCCACATGACCTGCAGTGGAAGCTCAGCTTTCTTTAGCAGATCCAGCATTGATTTGTGAAATGCTTTAAGAGTCTTATAATGTATTGCTGCCAAATACAAGTTCAGACTCTAAGCGGCCCAGAAAACCACAAACACTTTCCCTAATGCAAGCATGAGGAAGGAACACATTAACAGCCTCGTATCCTTAAGAACGACTTGTTTTAATGTGTGTTTTCGTACAAACAGATGCATTTATTTTCGTGTTAGTCCTCCTGAGTGTCCGTCTCTCACTGAGCTGCCAGCGCTCATTAAAGTGGCACATATTGTGTGTGAAGGTCAGTTTAAATCAGTGCAGCAGCTGATGGAGGTGCTCTCTCCGCCGCTGAAGCAATCTTTCGCTGCTGACTTCGATCAAGTTTCCTCTTTTGGCCGCAGTGCCACATTTCCTGATAATATTGCATGTTGTGGAAACAGGAACTTGAAGGTCTCTGGGGGTTCACGTGTAGCCTTGAGCGTTCACACTTGGTAACATTTTTATGTCTGACCTTCTCAGACACTTTGGTTTTATTTCTTCGCTCAGTGCCCTGACGCTTTGACTTGACACTGAAAACGTTTTAACTTACTTACTGGGGGGAAAAAAAAAAGATTAAATTGTTCAAAGTAAGGCTGACACAGGTTTCATGTCTCTAAACAGATATTTAGTTTAATCGTTTTTCTGTTGCGTCAGATCGTAAATTGGTCTTAACTGATTGTTCTAAGGTAATTTACAAATGGTTTTCTTATCCGTTTCTCTTTAAGTAATCAGTTATCGAACCAGCTTCTTTCTTACTCCAGCCGTTACTTTCATCCACCTAGAGGTTGTCGCAACGTCACAGCCGCTCCACTCCATCACTGTCGCCTCGTGTTGATTTTTAAGTGCTTACTGTACGTGCGGTCGTGCTGAAAGGCTTTTCCTGTTTTTGTTTAGTCTCTTTATTTTTTTTTTGTGTTTGACAGAATTCCTTTGCAAAGAATGTCCCCGCATCCACATACACTTCGACCGTGTGGACATAAAGGAAATTCCTTCAGAGCCAGTGTTTTTCCGCAGGTGGCTGCACGATCGGTTCGAAATCAAGGACCGGTAAGTGTGCGTGTGTGCGGGCGAAACAATGAATCATGTTGAAAATACATGTTATCCACTTTCATGTTCCATGTTGTTTTCCACACGCCACCATGTGTCTGAACTTCTGTGTGGAAAATAAAAGCATTAAATTCCATGATATGAAAATCTGATTATGTCCAGTGTAGACCAGTGAAATGTAGTAAAAGTACAAAAAAAAACATCTGCCACAAGTTTTCAGTGTCCAAAACTGAAACACGTTTAATTTGTTGTTGTATATAATAAAGACAGTCAGCTACTATTTTGCTTTTTAAATTTAAAACAACTTAAGCAGTTAATTAGTTCTCTTTTAATTGACTACTCTATTTATTGACTGACTATTATAGTGATCGTACAAAATAAGCAAGGGAAAACAAGAACAACTGGTAATGATTACCAAGCGAAGCAAAAATAACAGCAGCAGAGTCCCTTGTGTTTAAAACCAGACAGTTTACAGTCATTTTGCCACATAAACATTAAAATAAACATCTTTTGATGTTGGACTGTTGGATATCGACTTTGGCTTTGTGAAAAATGCGGATGGCATTTTTATTAACTTTCTGACATTTAATGCAACATTTATTTTAATTATGTTGTCGTGGAAGCAATCAGCATATTGATGCATAGGAAAGGTCCATGGGTCATTCTTGGAACTGCGGAGGCGTTTTGAAGCGATGCTGTTGTTAAAGATACAAGTGGTAATCTATTGATCTCAACACCACGCCAAGCCAAGCAACAAAAAAAAAAGCCCTGACATGATCTCTGTGCCGTCTTTGTGCTGTAACTGCGAGAAAAAAAAATCCTGATGTGAACTTTTGTCAGTTTGTTTCACTTTGTTGAGCATTTCTCCGACAGGCTGAATTCCTAAGAGAGTTATCTGTCTTTTTCAAAGGCTGCTGACAGACTTCTACGAATCGCAGGATGCCGACAACATTCGCAGGTTCCCGGGGGAGAGCAAACATTCTCCGCTGAATCTCTCCAAAACCCTCCCCTCAGTGATAATCTTGGGGGGACTGACACTGCCACTGCTGCTGACAGAGACCGGCAGGAAACTGTATGTGAGAACCTGGGTGTGCGGGACTCTGCTGGGCTGGCTGTGGGTGAACGCTTTTCCTTAACGAACAGGCCAGAGGCTGCCACGACGACGACGACGAGACGCACAAAGGACCTGGGAGAGACGGTGCCATTATTCCTGTATCGCTACAACACAAGGTGTGTTGCAGATGCAGAGCAGTATCCGATAAGAGGCTCAGAGATTTGTCTGTCCCACTGTTGACCGGAGATACTGAGAAATGTTAAGCTTTTTGTGCTACTCTTTCTCTGATATTATTTGGATTTGCAGCCTGAAATGATGAAAAAAAAGAAAAAACACACAAGAGCGGATTTGTTGAAAAGTATTACTACTCCTTTATCTCTACTATGAAATAAAAATAGCTACATATTTCTCTTAAAATACTTCCCCCATTATCAAATTTAGCCAAATTAGTATTGTTGCATGCCAGTTTTTTTTTCCATAAATCATTGGCCAGTTTTAAATCTGTTTATTATTTTTGAGAGCAAAGTGTGCAGAATACTCAAAAAACACATTTAAAGATCAAGGTCGGCTGTATGTAACCGACGGAGCACACTAGCCTACCGATGATGCATCATTAATTATTAAGTGCACTGACTCATTGATAATGGTTGTAATGTCAGTTTTTTTTTATGCCAAGTCCCATATCAGGAGGATTATGCACTTTTTCATGTAATTTTTTTTCTTTTTTCCCATCGGTAGAACAAAAATAAACAACATGCCGTCCTCTGTAGGGCTCATAAACATGACACCAGCTGCATTGTTTACCATAAATCTTCATCCTGACATCACTTTGTTTTTTAATGACAATGAATGTAGCCGTAAGAAAAAAAAAGAAAAAGAAAAGTTCATTCATGCATATGTAAAAGACACCCATAATAATAATAATAATAATATCCTTTACAAATACAATATGTTGTACATTTTTAACCAGAGTCTTTGTCACTAAACACGTGCAGAGCTCACATGGAGGAGTGTGTGTTTCAAATGAAAATGTTCTACCGATGTAAAATGTAAGTTCAACCTTAAAATGTCAGTCATTGCCAAAACCTGGTGTATTTGCCACGATGTTCTGATAAGAGTGTCTCTACATGTTTGAGTTAAGCAATAACTTGTTTTATTGCCAGCCCTGATGACAGCAAAGAAACTTAATGTCTGTTTTCTCTTGGATTCTAGAATATTCTCATTGTTTTTCTTTTTATAAATGGTTTATTCAGTTTCATAACTTTTATATGCATTTCTTACTTTGAATATCATGTTACAGTTCACATGATGAAAGTATCTACCTAACAAAAGAAAAAAAAAACTGACGAAGCCATGTTAACAGTATATCACAGGTTCCTGTGCACTCAAAGCCATTTGTATTATAAACATCACTGTATTCTTAAATGCACTGTATGTCCATTGTTGTTTACTATAATGAAACCATTGCATTTTCCACGAGTCACTTTACATAGTTGCCGTCTCGTCGTCCTCTAGAGTTAGTCCGAGATATGTTTTCCTCATGTGGATGGTACAGTAATCTCACGGTTTTTACATGTCGCTCCGATACCTCACTTGAATAATCCTTCCTTGTTCTTAAAAAGACCCTTGTCAGCCATTTTATAGTCATTTTTATCCTGACAAGATCAGACTGTAACTCATCAGGAAATTCTGTGTAGACAGTATTTAAATGCCAACTGTTTTTGGAAACGTGTGCCTTCTCTTTGGAGGAGTCGGTCCTCAGCCGTCTCTCAGAGGGCCACAGTGGCTCTTTTCCACCAGGTGACTGCATGGAGGCTCTCTGCTGGAGCTGCTGCTCACTGCAGCATGTGGTCACATTGTCTACAGCTCATAGTGGCTTATTTTGCTCTAAGAATGCATTGATTTACACTTTTTGAGGACTATTATTAAATGATGAAACCTTTAATGTGTGTAAGGTATGGAAACGGGGTCAGAGTGAAATAATAAAGTGGTTTTCTTTGGGGAGAGTCTAGTTTTGACTGCTGTTTTACTGTCATCAACACCATAGATCACAGAAATGCACAACTATATCCATGTAGCACCGGCACAATGTTTCACTGGTGGAATTGTTCTCATTGTGGAGCAAGCGCTTGTTAATCTGCTGCGCATGAACCTCCACTTTAACAATGCAAGGCTGCATGGTTTCCTCAAATGGAAAAATTGACATGTCTTACGCACAATTCTTTTATTTAGACGGACGTATATTTATATCATGTTTGGACACATGATCAAAGCTAGTATTTGAAAAGGAAGTCCCACAGGTCTAAGGGCTTGAGCCAACAGCGGGACAGATCGTGCAAAGATTAAATTTTCTGTTGACCACAAAGCTCATCATTCTACTTACTGATCTCCGTGCACTCTGTATAATCTGACTGCACGTCTACAGATTTAGCCTTCAGATCTAATGTACACAAATGTAGGGCTGTATTGAAGGTTACATTTATATATTAGGACAAGTTTTACATAATTTAAAGTGAGTTTAAAAACGTGACAGTGGGCAGTGGTTGAAAGTGCTATGAATGTCTTGGTCACAGGCTGTTGGTGTTACACTGCCACCTATTTGACAAATTATTTCACTTTAGTAGATTTTACAAGGTCACATTTCTTTGGATTTACACAGGCCTTCTATTTAGTTTTGATTCGCTGTAGATAACTTTATTTGCAGTTGATGCAAACTCCAAAAACAACATTACATAATGTCTGTGTTTTTTTATGCCATATCAGGAAGATTACATACTTTTTTCATGTAAAGTTTCTCCATCGGTAGAACAAAAACAACATGCCGTCCTCTGTAGGGCTCATAAACATGACACCAGCTGCATAGTTTACAATAAACTGTAATCCACACATCAATTTAACATCAAATGTAGTCGTAAAACAAAACGTTCACTCATGCATCAGTAAGACATCCATATTAATATTAATGTGTTTACAAACTACAACATGTTTTACATTTTTGAGCAAAGTCTCATGTGGAGGAGTGTTTGTTAAAAATTAAAATGTTCCACTGATGTAAGATTTAACTTCAACCTTAAAATGTCACTCATTGACAAAACCTGGTGTGTTTGCCACAATGTTCTGATAAGAGTCTTGATGTGTTTTAAGTTAAGCAATAGCTTGTTTTATTGCCAGCCCCGATAACAGCAAAGAAACTTGATGTCTCTGGATTCTATCCATTATCTATACACCGCTTAATCCTCACTAGGGTCACGGGGGGCTGGAGTCTATCCCAGCTGACTTAGGGTGAAGGCAGGGGACACCCTGGACAGGTCACCAGTCTATCACAGGGCTACACTTAGAGACAGACAACCAAGCACACTCACATTCACACCTACGGACAATTTAGAATCACTAATTAATCTCAACATGTTTTTGGACCTTGTGGGAGGAAGCTGGAGAGACGGGGGAGAACATACAAACTCCACGCAGAAAGATCTCGGTGTCCTCACCAGGACGCAAACCGGTGACCTTCTTGCTCCGAGGCAACGGTGCTAACCACCACTCCACGATGCGGCCCTTCTCTGGATTCTGAATATATTTAGATTTTATTGTAAACAGTTCATTCAGTTTCGTAACTTTTATGTATATTTGTTACTTTTAATATCATGCTGCAGTTCACATAATGAAAGTATCTACTATTTGTTTATACGTGTAAAGTGTTTCATGGAGATGTGAAGATTATCCCATGAAAATAAGTTATGTTTTCTATGATTGTTTGTTTTTTTGTAGAATAAATAAATTCATTCATTCATTCATTCATTCATCCACAGTAAGGTGTAAAGGCCTCATTTACAATGTACCCAAGTAAGAATACAAAAGATGTAGTCACACAAATAAGATAAAACAGACAAGAGACAAGACAAAAATAGTAAAACAATAAAATTATTTAGAGCATTTAAGTCTTGAAAACAAATGAATAAACTAAAACAAGATTAAATTAAAAACCTAAATAGCTCTAAGAATAAAAATGAGTGAAACTTTAGACTGTTCTGCAGGTTATTCCAGGTTGAATGTGCACAGTGAGTAAAACTACATTTTCTCAACCCAGTAAGAACATCCTGCAGCTGCAGCATAATCCAATCATCTGTATGGTAAAGGTCCACATTAAACACAGTAATGAGATACCGTAAGAGGGTAGAGAACCAGTAAGGACCTTGTAAATTATTAAAAGCCAGTGTCTATTACGTCTTATATGGAAGGAGGGCCCCCTGACCTCAGCATACAGCTCACAGTGATGAGTATTGGGATTGTCACCTGTAATAAATGTTCATTCAGTGATACGTGCATAAACAGTCTCCAAGAGATCATGAGTCACAGCTGATGCATGCTTGTATAAAATGAAATCATCATCCAATACTGATAGAAAAATTGCTTCAATAAGCAATCTTCGGCAATGCGGTGGAAAACACGATTTCTTCTTGTAGCAGAAGCCACATATTTGCTGTAGTTCAGTCACCAGTTTGGACACATGATGTTTGTGATTGTGTTATTTCCCCAAAAGACGGAGTAACTTTATCAAATAATCAATATGAGCGATATTAGAATCAACATTTAAAATAAAGCCATATTCATAGTAATATCGGGAGCAAAGCTGTAGTACTTACATGGTAAAAGGGAAATTTGTGTCCAAATGATAAATTTAAAACTAATTTTATGTCGAGAAAAGATAAAGATGAATTGCGAATAATACTTTCCCACTTTATCGTAGGTCAGCGAACGCAGCACAAACACAGCACATGCGCATTAGGGTTTGTGGGCAGTAACGAGGAAGTGCAGTCACGGATTGAAGGTGTCTAACTGCTTCTGCTCCCTTATTGAGATTCCAGGTATGTCATATGTACTAAGAGGAACCAAATAACAGCGTAAAAGGCGTGTGAGCACAATACGTACTTTATATGAAGTAAATTATTAGCCTAAATACGCGTGTACGTGTTTTCCTGCAGCCTTCTTCTGGTGTTGTTTTGTATTTTAATGACTAAAGGGCTCACAGCGACATCTAGCTGTCGATCAGGATTCTTGCATGTGGACTGATTATAGTACGCGAGTTTAATTCCTGCAAAGTTTTAAAGTAGTAATTGTTGGTGTTATGGTTTAACTTGTTTTTGTTAAAGCTTGCCAAGTAATAATTCAGTCTAATGGGCTCTTATTTGTTGAAGAGTTGAACAATTGGGGATAAAATATTCTGAGGAGTTTTGAGATTAAGTGTCTGCTCGCGAAAGGTTTGGAAGCTTTGCTGTTTAAAGTTCAATATAGGTACCTGACACCTTGTCCTGTGTTTTATTCACAGCTTCGTGATGGCGATAGATTGGATTGGATTCGGCTATGCTGCTGCCATCGCTTTTGGAGGATTTATGGGATACAAGAGAAAAGGTTACACATCCTAACTGAACACAGCGTGCAAATAGTGTTATTTTCTGACTCAGAAGTTGTTGTATTTTTAAAAATCTCATTTCTTTTGTTATGGTAAGGAAAAGGATTACATTTAAATTGTGCACAGAAAGACCCTGAGCTGATCGTCAATCACTGACATAATCCACCCCCTCATTAGGTGTGGCTTTAAAGGACAATAATCAGACAATGTGACCAGACGCTTTTGACCATAAAAGGCCTCCTTAAGATGCACCTTTGCCTAAATGGTGTGGCCAGTGAACAAACACTCTTTTGACCATAAAAGGGTTCTTCATTATGCAGCTTTTGTGAAATGGTACACAGAAGCTCTTCTGACCAAAAAAGGCCACCTTGAAAAGCGTTTTTAGTCACATGACTTGATGTCACTCATGACAAGAGACAGATGAGAACAGGATATTGGTATGCTGGATGCTGACATGTCAATTAGGGCCACAGCCAGGCCCTTGAAGGTCCACAAATCCATCATTTCTTGTCTAAGAAATCATTTCATACAGCACCTGATGAACGTGTCCGACACCATGATCTTGTCCCCCAGTATGTCCAACCAACTTGCTCGTTAGGAAGCATGGGACAATATTCCACAAGCAACATTGACAATCTCGTGAACGTTTTGTGTCACGAATGTGTGACTCATTACTGACTTGTGATTTCTCGTCCATGACCCCACTTTCACCGTAACCACTTCCACATTGTTGAGCTGTTGTGTGTGGGAAAAGCCAACAGTTTTTCCTCTGTGTTAAGAAGAATACATAGAATTTAATAATAATGTTACATGCTGCTTTTATATTGTTGTTCAGTATATATTATATACAATATAATATACAGTATATATTGTTGTTCAGTGTATATATTTTAGCTTTGGCAGAATATTTAATAAATATTTAACCCTCATTATCTTCGTGTGTCTCTGTTTTCTTAAAGGCAGTGTGATGTCCTTGATGGCCGGTTTAGTTTTCGGCGGATTTTCTGCTTACGGGGCCTTTAATGTCTCTAATGACACAAAGGACATCAAGGTCTCACTGCGTAAGTACACCTAACTTCATCCTTACATGCAAAATTTTCATCAGCACTTTGTAAATCACAGCTGCAAGGTGACGCAGTAAGAAGGTCGCTGGTTCGCGTCCTGGTGGAGGCACCGAGATCTTTCTGCATGGAGTTTGCATGTTCTCCGGTTTCTCCAGTTTCCTCCCACAAGTCCAAAAACATGTTGATTCTGAATTGTCCGTAGGTGTGAATGTGAGTGTGCTTGGTTGTCTGTCTCTAAGTGTAGCCCTGCAATAGACTGGCCAACCTAAGTTGACTGGGATAGCCTCCAGCCCCCGGGGTGGTGTATAGATAATGGATGGATGGACTTTCTAAATCAGAGAATTTCTTTAAATTTCAGCTACTATCTGTAATTTTGCTTTTCTTTTCAGTTGCCTCAGGAGCCCTCGCAGTCGTCATGGGAATGAGATACAAGAAATCTGGGAAATTAGTGCCTGCTGGGATCATGACGGGGCTAAGGTCAGAGTCATACGTGCTTATCATGCAGGAAAAATGATTGAGCAAATCAAGCATTGTGAGACCTGTTATTGCTGATTTTGTCATTTTTAATTTGCGGTTTCTTTACTTCCAGTTTGTTGATGGTGTTCCGGCTCTTGCTGCTGATCATGGTGTGACTGAGAGAGCAACTCTGAGCGGACCAAGGGCTCTCTGGCTCACAGTGAACAAAGCTTTGTTTTAAAGGAAACATTATTTCCTCTTATCACACTAAAACAAGTCCTATAGTTTGTGGATCTTCCCATTGTAGTACATCTCTTGCCAATTTTCCATAAATCAGTTTTTTTTTAATATGACCCTGTGTATGAATGTAAAGCTCATGATTTGTGAATAATTTCTCAGTATTTTTCCCTCTAGCTACATTACTGACAGCACAACAGATATATCTGAGCTTTGTGAATGCCTTGCAGCGGGTTTTCTATGTATTCTACTACATCGTTTGTGCAGGCTGCTAAAATACAAGCTGAAACATTCCGGATTAAACAACTAAATCTGCATTCTTGTCTGCTTTTGAGGGAAAAGAATTAAAGCTAATATGTTTGCAATTTTTGTAATAATATATAAACTAAATAAACGTGATTTTGTATTAAAATGACATTTTTCTTTTTGTGTACAAGGAACAAAGACACAGCAGCTTTCAAATATTCTTCAAAAATTAGAAATTTATTTAGTTCAAATCATCACATTGGAACAAACATATAGTGTTAGACATGATTACATAAATTCCTCTCTTGCGAAATAGATCCGTTCTTCTGTGCTACATTAGTGCAGTATTCATTTTAACATAAGAAATTACACATCATTGATTCACATGTCATATATGCAATGTCTGCATGCTGGCTGATTAGGAGTACCTGTGTGAGAGATGTACCGGATCTTTTACAGAGTTTATTAGAACTGAATGTTTAATTGGAACACCTCTTTGACAGTCTTTGTGTAGTTTTCATCTGGTTGCGGCTTCCTCTTGCTGCCTGGCTGCAGAAACCTATGAAGGGCCGGAATACTGAGCATCCTGCCCTTGAAAGACTGGAGGGAAACACAGAAAGAGCACTGAATACAAAACCCAGAACTGGATGCTAACAGTGTACATCAAGAAACGTTCTTTTTATTGTTGTTGTCTGTTTTACCCTGAGGCTGTCGTACTCCTTGAGAATGTCACAAAATTTCTCTTCCAACATCAGGATGCATTCAAACAGCAGCACATCTGCACAGGTGACTCTACCTCCCACCAGGTATACAGGTCCGGTCACGGCCTGAAAGAGTTGGTCAAATACCTTGTTTTACTATCATCATCAATCATCAACAGATCAATAGTTAATCTTTATGGCCTTTTAAGCAAAATGAGCCAGTTACTATGCAACACCTTTTCAAACACAGGAAGGTAGCGTTCGTTGGCTTTGGTCTTGACTTTCTCAAGTTGTGGTTTAGGGTCTGCACAGAAGGGCAGGATCATCATCATCTCCATTAAATCCATGAGTCCCTCACAGTGCATGTTGATTCTAAAGGAAAGCACGACCATTTATTTATCTGCAATCAGAAGAGGCTTCCATATTTGCACCATAAAAAGAAACGGATCATACATGGCGCGCTCTTTGGGATCTTTCCCGTGGAGATTGTACTTCTCCGCAATGTACTGGAAGATTGCCTTTGTCTGGACAAGCTTCATGCCATCGATTTCCACCATGGGAACCTGCTGAAACATGAGCGATCCATCTATGGAGCAAACACAATAGCAGGTAATCCAGACTGCCACTCCTAGTAAAACATTAATTCACCTTGTATGCTATATCTGTGACTACAGGTCAACAAGATACTGGAGAGCTTCACGTCAAACGTACTGCCTCATTCTAGGTTACATCATGTGTGGGTGGAAGTTGACAGATAAAATAAATAAAAAATGGACAATGAGAGCATGTGACTTGGATACGGGCCAGACAGAGTCCACCCACAGACATCATGTTACCTCATGAGACCTCTGCAACCAACTCACCATTCAGGAGTTTCACATACTGGTCCCGGCTTGTCAGAAACATCTCATCATACTGTGGACGTTAAATGACAGTAGATTTAGTGCACATTCAGGAGGGCTGGGAAAACTAAAAGAGAGCAAATAAAAAGAAAAAAAGAAAAACTTACCTCTGCTTCTGCAAGGGTCAAAAGCCAGCGAATTGACTCCATTTTCCCTCTTCCATTGAAGTAGTGCAGAACAGCTCTTTGAGACATGATTATTGTAGTTTGGTGTTGAAATCCGGAGAAACTGAAAAGAAAAACAAAACAAAACGGAAAAATATAAACAGTTGCACGTTACTGAATAAATAAATGCTGATAAATGCGCTGCTACTTCGTGATAAGTTTGCTTACCTGTGCAGCTGTCAGCCGTGAAAGAATCAAGATAAAGAGCGCAGAAAGTAAAGTTTACGCGATTATATAACATCGAAGTCGGGAGGAGGAATGTGGAAGTCTCAAGGGGGAGATTCTAAGTCTGTGATTGGTTGGTTCTCGCCAATAGAAACGTGGCTGATTAACATATTACCGAGATGCATCATGGGTAAAACACTAACTCGCCTTTTTGATGAGTTATTTATCGGCAAGTTCCGCAAAATTATCGGTGTTGCTTGTGTTAAATAAGCAGGCTGGACGATCACCACACGTGACGGCAAATAAAACAATACGTGACACCGTGACAGTGAACGTCTCCCCGACCTGGTGCAATATATAGGTCCCGCCTTCTTTTACTCGTTTGGATGTGAGGGCGATCTGGCTGCGACATCTGTCACCCCATTGATCGCTAGGGTTGATTCGGCTGATCTGGCTGGCTAGGCGGGTGTCCCCTTCCTCCCTCACCGCTCCATGTGTGTCCCTCCCGACGCTCCGCGCTCGGTGGAAGAGGACGAAGTCCCCCCGCGGCGGACGACCATCCATCGGTATACCAGTAGCTGCGCTCCCCTGCTAGAACCTCCAAACAAGCTCAAGGCCCATTTGTAGGAGAAACGTAGGGAAGTCAAGCTCCAAGCTTCAGACACATCCAAATGCGGCGCTGCACGTGGCAGTCTGCCTTCCTTTTTCAATTGTCTTCTTCTAAAACTTTTATATTATTCTATATTATTCTATATTATTATTATTGTATATATTATAGTTAAGAGTTGCATAGTAGCTAATTGTAGGATGTGCGTTTTATATCCTATTGTTTTTATAAGTGTATTTTATATAACTGTACTTGTATAAAATAAATTTGTATAGTATAGTCGTGTACTGCTGAATTTCTCTACTGTGATAAAATAAATCATATCTTATCCTAGGCAACTACTATCTAGTAGATAGTATTATGATACTATTATGTTGTAGATTATTTTATTTTGTTTATTTTTATTATTCATAATTTAGAAAAAAATATGTTTTTCCATATTATTTATGTCACCAGGGACTACAATGCAGAGTGACTGCATCAAGACATAAAAAACAAATTCCAAAAAAAGTCATAAATAATGAGGAGTGAAGAGATTACAATATACTGTTGTGTTATGCATAATGTTTACATTTTGTGTTGTATATGTTTTTATAATATATGCATATATACAATTTGAACCTTTATAACTACTTTGTTTAAATGAGCCTTTACATTTAAAACAGCTGACCATCTTGACTGACCCTTAGATTGTTTGTTGTTGTTGTTGTTGTTGTTGTTTTGTTTTTGTTTTTTTGTTTTATTGTTATTATTCTGAACCAGCTCTGTTTTTCTTTTTGGAACATATTAGCACATATAACTCTCCATGTTTTGTTTATCTATTTAGCATGTTAATACCACTCTGTACATACTGTTTATTCTGTTAATACAGTATCATACTCATTCCGCAGATAATGTTACTTATACATCTTGCTTATTCACATATCTTGCATGCATACATGCATTGTTAATAGGATACTGACTGTACTGTTAATATTGCCATATCTGAGCACATTGAGCACATTCATGCTGCTTTTTTTATTTCTTCCACTCAGACATTTTATATTGCATTGTCCTTTTACAGCATCTATGTGTTTGCATTTGATTGTCTTAGCACTCCTACTCTGTGCAATGACCTAAATGGAACCTAATCTAGCCTAACCTTTACTCTTCTTTCATTCATTATTCATTTGTATGCCTCCATTTCCTGGCACTAACTTTTTGTATTCTGTCTCTTGTCGTTACAGTTTTATCCCCTCAGCTGGTATTTCTGGTTTCAGAGCCACACTTTTCTGAGGTGCGGTTACTGGCCTCACCTCTGTCCCAGTGTTCATTGCTCTCTTACGTGCGGTTTGTCTGATTTCTATCTGATGTCCTTTTTCTCCCCTTTAGTTGCAGGTTTCGTCCTGATAAAGGGAGGGTTTTTGTTTGTTTTTTTTTGTTCCCACAAGCATCTCAAAGGGAATTGTGGAATTGTTGGATTGCTATCTGCAATGTAATACTGTAAAGTGTAAAATTCACCATTCTATGTGAAAGGCCTTGAGAGGACTTAAGTTATGAATTTGTGTTGTATGAGTAAAACTGAATTGCATTTATTTAATTATAATATGTAAATAGGCAATAATGTGATGTTCATTGCAGATACTAAACTACTAATGTCATCTGTAACCTCTTTTTTTTTTTTAAAGCAGCAAACCATGGATGGACTTGTCATTTCTCACATTTCACATACTTCACTTGTAGATTTTGCTATGTATAGTGAGCAATTTGAGGTTGGATGGCAGCTCTGTTAATAACAAAATGATCAAACTACATCCACCTCGTTAATCTGTCATCCCCTCTGTGTGTTTTTTCCCATTCCCTGTGTTAAAAAAAAAACCAAATCTGGCTATGTAGCAAATGGAAAGTTAACAATTAACGTACTGTTTGTGTGTTTTGGGCAAACATTCAGTTTATTTTATCCTCCACTTAACTTGTGGCAACACTGGTGACTTGTGGCTGTATTTTCAGATTGTCCAATGTCAATAAAACACAATATATTGCAACATAGCATGACTACAGAGCTACAGGACAAGTGCAGAAAGACTGTGCATTAAGGACTTCAAATTTCAATTTTTGCTTGTTGAAATCAGTTCCTTCATTCCTAATATGCAATAATGCTTGCAAACATACACTTCATTACAATATGAGCCCACTCTGGTCAATTAAGTCTGCATCACATCAGTATAAATTCACTCTATTCCTGAATATACAGCATTAAATGAGTGATTTTACTGACCTGGGTTAATCTCTGGCACAGATTAATCTAGTGGTCATGCTGTGCTCATCCTGATGCAGCTGTTAGCCACACATAAAAATGGACAGATAGGTAAGCCTAAGAGCTTCAGTAGAGGCAACTAAGCTTCTCTTTTTAGTTCTTTAAGATATTTCAACTCTCATTCAAGACACTTTTTCAGTTCTAACTGATTGATGGGGAATGGCAGGTATATAAACAACATGTCCATGGTTTAACAATGATCCAATACTCTCATGTCTTGAGCCGTGAATATGCCAGGTCATGGAAAACTCAAGGTGGTAATGATGGTGCAGCTTTCTGGGGAGAGATCTCAAGATCCTTCCTCTCCGTTTAGGGATGGCTTACTTCACTCTTCTATCAAACCATGTGTCTTCTCTGTCTAGATGGTTAATATCACATTCCTCAGAAGCCTGCCCCTTTCCGTTTAGGTGGCCTGTCCTGTCCAGATATTGGTAGATATTGCTCTAAGTTTGTTCATCTTCAGTGTTGACACTTCCATCTTCCTCAATGTTCACAGCACAATCCAAAAAAGGCAGTTTGTTTTCCCTGAAATCCTCCCTTGTGAATTTCATGTTGTTATCCACTGAGTTGATATGTTCTGTGAACTCTTCTTCTTTGTCTTAGGCTTTGATTCTGACCCAGGTGTCACTCACATATCTGAACCAGTGGCTCAGAGTTGTTCCCGTGAGGCAGTCAGTGCTCTGCTTTCCACTTCATCCATTTAGCAATTAGGCAAAATTGGTAACACTGAAGAGCCCATGGCAGTCATGCTTTTGTCTGTAGAAACCCTCACTGTAGGTAAAGTACAGGTGGTAGTCAGGCAGACGTCCAGCAGGGCAAATATCTGACTGGGGATGAAGTTGGTTCTTTTATTTGGAGAGCTGTGCTGCAGTAGTTGTTCTGGTCTCCACTGCCTCAGATGTAGGTATACATGTGAAAAGGAAGGTTACATCAATCGATAACTTTAATCAGTGGAGCTCTGGATGTCATGTAAAGTGTTTTCAGCTAGAAATGTGAAGAGGGCAGCAAGGTGTTTTGCAGTGTTCTGGGCGGCTGAGTTTATGCTGACCTGGTCATCCCTCACCAGGCACAACTATTCACACCTCAAGGCAGGTGAGTCTTTAATTCACCATAAGCTTTGTGATTTGGGGCTAACAGTATTATCTAGGATGTCCCTCAGTCAGTTAGAAATGAAGTGGTCTCTTAATGAGAGGTAAAAGCCTTCAAGAACCAAAAAGAGATGGCAAGTTGTCTTCTACGAAAGGTCAAAAGAGTACCACAGCCTGACTGACTGAGAATCTACAGACAGTGATTGGAAATGATAAAAAAAAGACCTGATAACAACTGATCAACCAAAAAGGTTAATAAACAATTAAACTTAGAACATAAGAACAGCCAGTCAAAAGTTTAATTATACTCGATAGTCTGCAATTTAATAAGTACACCTAATTTGGCCAAACGTAGGCTGAATGGACTAACTTGGAACATTTTACTGCTGAAACTGAAACCTGTACAATGTGGCAACCACTTGCATTGTGCGAACTTCAGTGAAATTTAGGCACTGCCTTGAATTTCACTCAAAACATATAATACACCAATAATAGTTACCTGATGAGCAAGGCAATCGTCAAACAAAAGGGGAGGAATGTAAAAAAAATACTGAACTGTACAGAGGCAAAGTAATTAGTTAGCCAAAAACAAGTCACAGTGAAGGTTTCATAAAGTTATAATATGCATAATATGTAATACATGTTTGTGAACGACATTCAATGATAGATCCGATACAAAACTGAGAGTGTGACCTCTGCAGGACAGCAGTTATATTACAGAAATACATAAGAAAACACTGAGGACCAAGTCTGGGCTCACATTTTGGCCAGTTGCATTTACTCATACACTTAAATATTTTACAACTCACAACATCCATAATACACATAATGAAACAAAATTTATTGCTGTGTAAGATTTATGTACAGATTCTGATTATAAAACAACTAGGCCTACTCTTTGGAGGGGACAGAGTTCTTAGGGGCGCAGATCAGAGCTCCAGGGAGGCCACTAGCGGTGTCCGTATTTGGCAGACCAATCTGTTCGGCCGTGAATGGTCTGTAGCGGCGGGCGCGGCAGCAGACCAGGGGTGCTCTTGTTGGCCACCGGCATGTTGGTTGAGGTGTTCATCTGACTCCGGCCAGACCGCCACGTTGCATAATCTAAAAAGTACAATAAATAACAGGTTAGGCTTCTATAAAGGTTCCTATCAGTTATAATAGAAATAACTGCATTTAAAAAAAAAGCCATAAATCTGTTCTCACTTGATGCTGTTTCCATAGAAGGACCCTGATGCCCTCTGTGACCAGCAGAACCGCTGTCTTTTTTGTAAAATGATGGCATGTATCCACCTGGGATTGTGTTTGTACCTGACAATGAAAACAAAAACAGATCTATTAATTGGAACGGCGCTAAACACAAGAAGAAGAAGAAGCTGCAGAGATTACAGCGAGGTTACCATGTGCTCCTCTGCTCGGCAGAGTACCTCCAAATGGAATACTACTGCTGCCCCAAAGATGGCTTCCCGCGAAGTCTTTACTGGCATTTATGGCCACATTCTTCTTTGTACTAATGCCTGAAGGAAACAGTAACAGAATATTATATACATTCTATTTGAAAACATTTAGGAATAAAAGAGGTAAAAGTGAGGAAGAGCAAAACATTGCATAAAATCACATAATCACACAACACAATAGATTTTTTTTAAACAAGAAAAAGCCCTTGGTTCTAATAAGCCAAAGTCTTAAAATATACAGTATGTTACCAGGTAAATATCTTGACTGCCTCAGGTAATGCTGCTTAGCGGAGGCAGTTCTTGATGGCTCTTGATAGGCTGCAGTCTTGTTCAGGTTTAAAGGTGCATCTTCCTTTCCACTGGGGCGACTGTAATCCAGAACATTTCCATATCTGAAAGACAGAATATCAATGTAGTCTGAATAACCTGCTGCTGATGTACGGACATTATTTCCTTGAGAATTATATTACTACAGAATGTTGGCTTTGCATATTTAGTTTGTACATCATTACCGTGCAGATGTTACAGACCTGCTCAGTGCGTCCTCCCCCTGCCTCGACTTCTCTGTGGAGAAGTTACTTTTTCCAAGAATACTTATAGATGTCAAATCGGTTTCTTCGTAGTCGTCCCAGTCTTCACCCTTGAGGTGTCCTGTGCCGTGTCCCCATCGCCGCCGCCCGGCTCCTTTAGGTTTCAACTGATAGCTCAGCAGGTTTGCATTTTCTGATTCCTGTCTCGCTTGCTGCAGGAATGATCACCACAAACGTAAGGACATGTTCAAAAAGAGAAGTTCTTCTGCTATATTGTCTAAATATTCTGTCTGCCCCTTTTGATGGAATCACTTAATACTCTGTTTTTATATTATATATTATACCTAAAAAACCATCCACTGGGAGAAATAAAGAGGGAATATGCAACAAATACAGACACATAATGTTTCCAAGTCATGTGGAGTCTCACCTTGCTCTGGAGACTCTTGTCAACAATGTAAGGAAGATGGCTCTGTGGCGTTCCTTCGGTCTGTTCCTGCTTCAGGATGTGCTTTGGCTGCTGCTGCTCTCGCACCAGCTCTGTGTGCCGTTGGTAAGCTGCCGCCTGGGCAGCTGCTGATGCAGGGGAGGGCTGGATCTGCTGGAGAGGCCTGGAGGGGGAGCAGTGTTGGTTGGGAGGGGGAGGCTGGGAGGGGGGAACAGGCTTCAGGAGCAGAGGCTGCTGCTGCAGCGACTGCTGTGACTGCAGCGGAGCCTGTATCGGCACAAGGCCCGGCTGAGGTCTGCCCTGCTCCAGGATCTGCTGAGGAGTGCCCAAAGCCTGGCCCACATGAAAGTACGAGTACCTGAGAGCCTGAAAAAAGAAGAAGAGATTTGGACAAACAACGTCAGATTTCTGTATTTTCAGCTGCAAGGACTTTGGAAATAGAGTCCATCAGACTTTACCTGGGCAGAAGCTGGTCTCTTCTTGGGATCCCACTGAAGCAGGTCTGTCATCAGATGGATGGCTTCAGGACTGGCGTTTGGGATCAGTGTCTTCAGATTACTGGGAACACACTGAGGCCAACGGAAATTCATTGCACTCGCCAGCTGGAATCCCTCCGGCCAATCATTCTAGAGGGAGAACACAGTCCATCTTACATACCATATTTATCATAATGTCAGATTTAACATGGTTCCATTACCTGATTGGTAGTAATCTCAATACTGTGCATGTTTACATTTTTTAAATGTCCTGTTATTACTAATGAATTTTAAAAATTCTCATATTGTTAAAGGATTCAGTCTGTTTTGCCCAACAGATCTGTACACAGTCATATATTGTACTTGTGCTCATGAGCAAAGACAGACTTGGAAATGAAAAAAAAAAAAGGTTTTTGCAATCTGTTCCACGCATGAAGTACAGCTAAGCCACACAGCCGGTGTAGACAGATGCACTAGTTTATACAAAGTGCATCTCTTCTGTCAGCTGAATTAACCAAAAACTGCTTGAACACATCCTGTGCAGACAGTGTTTAACAACAAAAGACAAACCAAGCGCTCTTTGTAATTCTGTTGTGTGCATATGCATCTCATCAGTGCTACAATGCTTCAGAACTTCCAGTAGCTTCACAAACACCCTCTATTCCCCATGTTGGAGTTAGGAGAGACAAAACCAGCAATCCAGCAATCACACCTACTTTATGCCCTGATTATCCAGCTGTGCGGAGGTGACAAAGAAGGCAGGGGTCATTTTTTTCATTTGTTACTTCTGTCACTTTAAAAGCAAGAAAGCAACCACAACACCATGAATGTTGTCCAGAAGAGACTGTGCCTCCTTATATGCATATATAATCGCTAATCAGACCTCTCCATGACGGACGATTTTCCATTTCACGACCTGTCAAAGGGGCAGTTTGGAACAACTGTTTGAGCATAACCCAACCTTTAAGGTGTCCACATGTTTCTGTCACCCTGACGTAAAAAAATCATTTTCAACTGATTAAATTCAAACTTTTACCTTTTTGACTACATATTTTGTGTGTGCTCCACAAAACATCCAAACATTACCTTCTTTGGTGTACCCAAGACTTGGCAAATCTTGAATATGGTGTCTACTTCACTGGAGCCTGGGAAAAGAGGCCTGAGGGTATACAGCTCTGCCATGATACAGCCAACCGCCCACTGGTCTATGGGTGAACTGTAGGATGTGGATCTGAGGAGCACTTCTGGAGCTCTGTACCTGGTCGCAAAAGAAGGGTTACTGGGATTTAGACACACTTCCATATAGGCCAAACACATGCGCATTATGTTTAAAAGCAACTCACCATCTAGTCGAGACATAGTCTGTGTACGGTGGTCGAGATCTGATCTCGCGGGCGAGTCCAAAGTCGGCTATTTTCACCAGCTCTGGACCCATGCACAGGAGATTCTCTGGTTTCATGTCCCTGTGAAAGAATCCTACAAGAGACACAGACAGAGTGTGAACATCTCCACCAAACTGGCACAAAATGTCACTTGTGACTGTTTTATTTAGCACCTTGGAGTTGTAAACAGACGTACCATGTTTATGAATGAATGCGAGCCCTTGTAGTATCTGAAACATAATATTTCTTACAGCAGATTCAGGAAACAACCGGGTCCTGCAGCAAAAAAACGCATCAAAACACAATCAGTGAAGAGGCTGGGCACATTTCCCAAACATACTTTCAAATGTAAAATCAATAATACAAAAAGTAACAACCATACGCACCTATCTTTCATCAGCTGGTATAAATTCTCCTTCATGTACTCGAATATAAAGTACAAGTGATCATTTTCTCGAATTACCTCCTTGAGTTTGATCACGTTAGCATGGTTGAGTTTCTTTAAGGACTGAAAGAATAAAGAAACATATGTCAGATAATGTAGAATGCATAAACACAAAACAAAGGTTGAAATAAATAATAGCTCTAACCATGCTGGACAATACACACAGGTCACTGCAGCACATTCAAAAGCACGCCCTACAACTATGAAAAAAACCTTCTTGTTAAAACATGGGTAGTGTAAGAACACAATGTAGTTTGGAGGGTAAATGCTGTGGGATTTAGGCTTACAATTTAAAAGGGAAAAGAAATACAGAATAAATAGAAAGCAGGATGGAAAATATACACTGTTCCCATGCACTGGGATGAAATAGGTTTAACCATGCTAATTTTTAGTAAGGGGGGAAAAAAGCCATAATGGGACTTTGAGATCGTATGGTGGCATGCTGGAATTATAATCTACTTAGCGGGACTCTAAGGACCAGCGTGTTCTACACATGTTTTGCTGCGATAAAGTCAAGCTCTAGAAACAGGGGGATGTAAAGGCCAGGGGTGGGAACCAGAGCTCAAAACCAACAGCACACAAGAATCACCTTATGCTCTTAGAGCTGGTGTGTGACTTTGAGCTGTGAGGAAAATTTAGACAGTAACATACTGAACTGGTGTGAAATGAAACAACAAAAATGTTTTGCAATTATTTGGCAGCTGGACTAAAAAGTACATCATTACTGCGCTGCCCACAAATCATCTGGTCGTCATAAAGAACTTTCTACACAAATATATGAAAAACATCAACCCAGACTAAAGTAAAGTATGTGTAACATTATATCTAACATTTAATGTGTAATTTATTTTCTGTTTATAATTTCCATTTGTTATACCTGCCTGTGCCACAAACATGCATTTCTTGACATCACTAATGGGTGCTGCAAATCTGAAATGTTTACATCCTGTCATACTGGCTTTGTATGTGGGAAAACACAATTCCATCTTGAGTAAATACTAAAGACTTTTGCAACTCATGCTGACATTTCCAAGTCACTTTTTACCAGTGTAGAAATACAGAGTAAATGTCAGACTATTTTTTTATATATCAGATGAAAATTAAGTTATTGGTTACCGTTGTAATTTTTTTTTAGCTAGCATGAATTGAAAAGAGATTTGTAAGTATGAAAAGGAACCATTAACATTAAACACAGACCTTGTAGAAGACTGAAAAGTCCATTTAACAGGAAGCAGTACTACATTACATTAATACAGGCTAAGGCTGCCCAATCATGACATTTTAGGTGATAATTGTCATAGAAATACTTGGAAACCATGATTCAAATGTCTTATTCTACTCATTTTATGCCTGTTTTCGTTTTAGATAACAGCTATTAGTGCCTTTGAAGACCATTTTTTAAATGCGATTCCAACAAATCACGGAGTCAAAGTTATTGGACGCTGCTTTTTTTGTTTGATTCAGTTAGGTGATATTAAACTGTACCAAAAGAAGGAGGTGCAAACAAAAGCTGTTTTGAACACAGAGAGTGGAAAGAAGAACATGTAATAACGCTACAGGTCTAATACGGGCGCAACTCGTTTAACATCGGTAAAGACAGACTATTCGCTCTGAACTCCTGACTTTCTTTGTTAAAGAACAGCAAAGGGCTTTGCTTTGAAGCTGATTTGGGGTTGATGCTTTCATAATTCTGCTGTGCCATTCAATTGTGTGACACTGTGTTAAAATATAAACTTACCTTAACTTCACGGAGGTTCATGCATTCTTCCCAGGAGTAGAACTTCCTTTTCATTCTGAAAAATAATGGTCCTGGTGACTAATTTGTTAAAAATGACTTTAAACTGCATGGCAGCCTCTTTTATTTGGCTTCTATTAAGTCAAACAGCTGCCCTGCACTCCTCTTGTAATCCTAACAGATGGGCTGCCATCACACACTTGTTTAGAGAAATTAATGCACAATATGATGTAGAACATCAGCTCTAAACTTGAGAAGCAAAAATTGCATTGCAGATCACAGGGAAACACACAATTTCTGGATACTTACTTCTTTATAGCAACTAGTTCTCCTGACTCCAGACTGCGGCCGAGGATGACTGAGCCGTATGTGCCATCCCCAAGCTGTCTGATGGTGGTGTATCTATTCATTATGCTTGTCCGTCCATAGCATCATCTGGGGGCAGATAATAATCGGGTGGCAGACTGATGTGTTCACGTCCTGCTGAGTGCAACCAGATTTTCCTGTGACAACAGCAGAAGACTACAGGCAGAGCTGGAGGACTCATGGTTTAATGGACTTGCCTCCGTCAAGCTGTGAAGTTGGGGGACACAAGACAAAAACAGATTATTAATTATGCAGCTATATGAAGTAATTACCAAGTAGGACTGATTCTATTTGATTGGTATAATATTTAATGTCAATCTTTAGTTTGATATTCACTGTATAATAGATGAGATACCATCAAAACAGGACAAGACTGTCACAAGAAGGCTCATGAGAATTTGTAAAAACCCTGACACAACAGTTTAAACCCTGAGTCAGACACCCTGCATAATGTATGTCCTTAATAGCAGCCCTCGCAATTTGCTAATTGCACTGTTTGAAATCGCAATTTCAAATTGATTAATTGCTCAGCCCTTCTACTATGTGGGACATTTTCAAATTTAAAATCTTTTCAGTACTGTGGACAAAGTAAATGATGGAGACCTTATTTTCTGGACTGCCTTCCTTTTTAAATCACGCCATACCAACAACATGTAACAAACCAGTACAATATACTGTACACACAGGTACAATGTTGTATCAAGGAGGCAGGTTTAATTCATTCCCCCAGCTAATCTACGTCTGATGATGCAACTTACTTAAAAAACATGCAGTTTTGTAAGATTTCAGTGCTCCAGTTTTGTCTGACTCAACATGAAAATAAAGGACTTGGGATCAGAATCAGAAAACGCAATTCAACGGGGGAATACTGTAGAAAATGAAAGTCTCCCTCCAGCCAGAAATGTTGTACTGAGTTTTTCTTGGCTCAGAATAGGCCTTTGGGAGTTGATTACGCACAACAGTAACAGCAATGAGTCTGTATTACCTGGTGGTTTGACAGAAATCTATGCGTTTTCTTGAAATATGCCTGTTATTCTGAAGTAAATGAAAACCCAAACAAAAAAAACTGGTTAAAAAAAATTAATTACTTTTGCTATTCTCAGTTCATATTATTTCAGCATTAGTGATTTTCTCTTGCTCCTGGCTGAAGGGGCGAAAGGGTCTTTAGGGGAGCATCAAAAAATCCTCTATGCAGGGAAAACAACATTATTGTTTCTTCACCTGGATGTTTGACCCTCACTGTGCAGATTTTGCCATTAGACTGCTCTCAAATTAATCGGCTTAAGAGAGAAACTTGAACCTAGTTTGTCAGGAAGTACAATCAAGTGTATGACCAATAACCACTGTAAAAACATACAAATCGTATAAGCTAAATGAAATTATGGTAAACAATCAGAAGGTTGAAAATCATGATATGTGAGACAGGTCTGTGTGTAAAATAACCAAAGATTGCTTCACTATTTTTATTCTGTAGGCTCTGAATGACAAAGAGTGTATGGGGTCTGGATGTAAACAAAGCCTGCAGGGCTGATAACACAATATGTGATGTTGCAGCTCACGACATGAGGTGAGGATTGGGTGGCAGTAATACTTTAGGGTGGTTGACGACATACATTGGGAATGGGGGGGAAAAAAACTGCATTTAAGCTAATGTATTTTGGGACAATGATTAGTTGTCCTCGAGATCAACTCTGTTTGTTTGTACTCTGCATTGTGTATGAAAAACCTACAAGACTCTTCTCCTTTTCCCCCCCAGTGTGATATAATAAATCAGTATCAGAGTATTTCAGTAAGTGTGGCAGTCAGATAAATATTTCAAATCACGGCCCAGTATGAGCTCATACACTGAGACGGACTAAATAATTCTAAATAATGAGTATATACTACAGGTTTCTTCCCCTGTAACACAGATCATAAGGGGAAGGATGGAAATTGGACTTATAAGTACGCTATAAACGTGAAATGTATCACCATTTTACCAATACCAGCTGCAGCTGTTATTTACAGTAAAGTATAATAGCATTTATTTATCAGTACAAACATGCTAACATAGACACTAGTTACTCGGTTGAAGAAGTTAGGAGAAAAATACACATTATTTTCATGTTTTCTTGTCTTGTTTGGTTCTCAACACGTATATTCAGTTGTATTTACCAACGCAAACGCATTTCATCACTATAAACCCTTTATGTGGATGTAACGTTAAGCTAATTCACACTAATGTTAGTTCAGGTTAACTCGGTTTAATACTACAACCAGTCCTGTGTGTCTGTGGTTACAGTTTAACGTGTACTTTGAGCAGCTAGGGGCAGCAAACGTGGTAAAATTAACGATATTTATGCGGTGGCCCAGCTGCTGACAACACATCACAGCGCTGCAGAGCAAACAGTGGACTGGTGACACTGAATAAACTCAAAATAAGACCAACAAAAAGCAGTGGACAACACTCACCCTCCCCGCGTCAGACCGACAACAACACATAGCCGAGCATTCGTTGTCCAACAAATGGCTTCAATGCAGCGGTCAGCTAACCGACACCGTTACGAGCCGAATAACCGCAACCAGTAAGTCCGACACACAACGTAAATAAATTTCCAGCTAGGCCCCTTCAGCTCATCATAATCTCGCGTTGCTGGGGAAAAAAAACAGCTTGCGGTCTTATTACAACAAATCACAGCTCTGCTCGGGCGCCAAAGATACAAACTGACGTAAAATGACCACCGCCGCAATTTGTGTCTTCGTAGCTACAACGCATGCGCTGCTTTGATGTCTGCGACGTAAACTTAACAGTGGCTCAAACTATTTAATGTGGGGTTTTAGTTTCCTATCGTTTAGTCCATATATTGCCAGAAACCTACAGACAGAATGCATTCATTAAAAAGACCGATAATCTAAAAATACTACCAACAGTGAGAAACATTTATCGTCGCAAAAGCAAAGGCTGAAGTGAGCTACACCTTAACCTCTTGCTTCGTTTTCTTCATCTTTGGTTAAATGTGAAACTCGCAGCATGGATCCACTTTAGGGATTGATTACAGTGGATATTGGTAAAATGGGATACTTTCTGAAAATGTATACTCTGGAACAATCCTAGCTTGATGCAGCTGTATAATCATTAACCCCCTTATTACAATATCCAGAAGAAAAGAAAGTAATCCAACATTGACAAATAATCACTTAATTTCACACACAATATGTTCTGATATCAACATTTTAATGTCTTCAAATAACCAAAAGATGAAAATACAAAAAAAAATATAACTGAAATACTTAAGTGAATCATTGGAAAATACTTAGCAATGACACATTTCTTATGAGCAGAAATAAAATAGCTACAAATAGTAAGCTAGAGCTTCTATTGGTGTGCGGATTCTTTGCTTACTTCACAGGAGGAAAACAGGGGCAAAAGAAGAGGCTATGTATTCCTATAATCTCCTGCAAATTAACAAAGCCATCCATTACCCACAGGTGAACAGATTAGAGATAAGTATAGGTGCATTGGAGCGTAGACTGTCAAGCAGGCACCAATCACTGTGTATTACCTGCATGTTCCAAGTAGCATACAAACACCGATTAACTACTGGTGCTCCAATAACTGAGAGTCCATACATGGAAAGAAAAGACTCCAGTTACATTAAAAGTCACATTTGCTTTTAAAATAACTGAAATATCTGAGTGTTAAAGTTATTAGGTGTCTATAAATCGACTAACTGTTTTGAACACAGTCTATGTTTGGGAGGAGAGGGAGATGCCTGGTTCCCTTGCACCTGGGATGGTTAAACTTGGAGTTACATCCATCCATCCATCCATCCATCCATATACACAACTTAATCTTGCTGGGGCTGGAGCCTATCCCAGCTGACAGGGCGAAGGCAGGAGACACCCTGGACAGGTCACCAGTCTATCACAGGGCTACACTTAGAGACAGACAACCAAGCACACTCACATTCACACCTAGAGACAATTTAAAGTCACCAATTAACATGTTTTTTGACTGTGTGGGAGGAAGCTGGAGAACCTGGAGAGAACCCACGCTGCACGGGGAGAACATGCAAACTCCATGCAGAGAGATCCTGGTGTCCTCACCAGGATGCAAACTGGCGACCTTCTTGCTGTGAGGCAACGATGCTAACCACTGAGCCACCTTGCAGCCCTTGGAATTTCCTTGCTAACCACAAATCTTGCTTTGTACTGCAGACCTCAGGAGTCAGTCATCTGCAGGCCACCAAGCACTGCTTTGTACCTGCACACTTTAATTAGCATACAAACACCCATTCACTGTTGCTGCAAATCATTTAGACAGTCCATATTAGAAAACAATTTATGCCAGATGCCAAAAATGTATTATACAAGCTGCAGTATTAATAATAAAATCATAGTTAAATAAAACTTCAAGTAATAAGCAATTTGCTGATTCCAGCTTGTGATGTATGAGGTGTTTGCTACTTTTCTTCCATTTACATAACTAGAAATCTGCTATATTTTGCTTTTGCTCGCAGATTAGAGCCTTTTTTTTCTAGGGCAAGAGAGGCAACAGACATAGTCTTTGTTTGTCACTGTCTCTCTGAAATGGTGATAAACAACATAAAAATACTTGATTGTTTATTATGAAGTGAATACAATCACTGATGTGAGAGTTCATGTTTCACCTCCAAACTGTTGTAGGTTTAGGTGCTCTCTATCATGTGAAGGGAGCTCCCCCTGCTGGGATACACATAAAATCTGCAATGAACTTCACCTGGTTCTGTTGACTGAGAATTTGCCAGAACAGAGGCTCAACAAGCACAAGACACACAAAACATCAGAGGAGCAAGTAAATAGTCACCTTGTACTGCTGTCCTAGTAATTTAAAAAAAATTAATCAACCACATGAAAGGCTTTGCTTGCCTGCATTCCATTTTTTTATGACATAGTTTGAGGACCATTCGCCTTTGATAAATGTAAATACAACCATAAATACTTTACCTCAGCTTTAGAGCTACAGCCTAAGTTTCTAAGAAACTTCTGGGAACAAGTTAGAAGTTGTACAGAAGCACACAGTAGATAATTACACGTTTGCTGCGTCTCTTTAATGAAGGGTCATTTTAAAACGTCTTCTCAGAGCCTTAGGAATGTTTGCTTGAGAGGAAAAACATTTCTCAGAGTTACAGTCTGAACATACCTGGAACATTCCCAAAATGCTAAATTCTGCAAAAATAACCTTAACAAATATAGCTACTGATACTATGTAATGGATAACTTCCTGGATATATATATATATATATGTGTGTGTGTGTGTGTGTATAATTGCAATTGATTTTAGAGAGAATGGTCATTTTCTCATTTCTTTTCCACAGGGAGAATAAATACATGCTATTTTTATTTTAGTACTGCAGTCGGTACCAAACAAGCGTGTTTGTAGGTCAATGAGTCATTTAATAAAGGCTCGTGACTTATTATTATTTGCAGCTTCTGCAGTTTGGATATTGCACTTGGCCATGTTGTAATAATATTTTGAATAAACAAACAAATAAGCAGAACAGGAACCTTTCCGGAACAACCCAGGAAGCTGTTTGCTGGCCATATAGCAACATTTATTTATTAGTTTAATTGTGAATTTATTATGTATTCATTTCATATTCCATTTGTTGACAAAAAATATATTTTTTAATTACAATAATTTTACCGTCTTTTTTTTTCTCCACTGACTTGCAAAAGGAAAGACCCATAGGTGACTTGCAAAAATGCTCTTCCTCATCCAAAGCTCATTTTCCTGAACATGTGATAATATAGAGGCAGTTTTTCAACGTGCCTTTTCAAGCCCACTCACGGAGCCTCCGGGGCGCAGCAGGGCGCAGCAGGGCGCCTCTCTCCCCCGCCCCGTCCCCCTCCACCTTCACCAGCCTGCCTGCCTGCCTGCTTGCCTTCCTGGGTCACTGACGCTCCGGGCCACCCAGCGAAATGGCTGCGTTCCTGCGAGCTCGTAAATATGTCCGTTGTGTCGTCCGTTTCTCCGACCGTGAACTGTAAACGGTAGAGTCGACCGCCTGTGAAGATAAAAAGAAAACCTAGTGGCCGAGGTGTCATGGTGGGTCCGCGCGTTCTTCTACTTATTCACACACAAACATGTCAGGCAGCTAGCTAGCTAGCTAACGGAGCTAACGTCACCTGCTTACCTGTCGTTCAGCCAGCTCGACGTGTTCCTCCAGCCGCTGACTGCTTGCCAAACCTTGCCTACTTAATATGTGAGCTGATTTTAGCTCCAAGCCCTTGAAATTAGCGATATACATGCATGCGGTTATAACACATTAGTTATGTTTATGGTACGTTGAGGTAACGTTAGCATTACCTAGTGGAAAGCTACTTACAGCTCTACTACTTAATCACCTGAGTATCGAGTTTCTGAATTACAGCATGTTTTTAAATGGAAGTCAAGTTTTATTGTTAGGTGTCTTTTTGATTAGCTGTTTTTATATTCCTGTCACTCATCTTTATTTTATTTCCTACAGTAAGAATTACATGTTTCTGACAGAAGTCTATTTGATGTATATGCAGGCACAGACACACCACAGAAAGTGTGCACACATAACTACACAGTGCAAAAGACAACAAAAACATGGCAGATTATAAAAACAAAATGTGCACTATAAATGTTAATAAGTTAATCTGCAATATTAACAAAATGCATAGTAACATGCTTTAAAACAAGGTTGCAAACAGCAGTTTGGAGTTAAAAATGAAACTTTACAAGTCCAAAGTGGTCTAACACAATGCAGAAATACTGGAAATACCAGAAAAACTACAGTGTGTAAAAACTGCAGTAAAAGTTTGGTGAAGTGGCTGAATCTGTTTTTTTTTTCTTGTAAATTGGGTTCTTCAGAGAAATGTATTCACTGAAGAACAAGATTGTGAATAACAACATGTTTCTAATAAAATCGATCATGTTGTTGGTGATAATCAATGATTTACCCGTTTTGTTTGTTTGTGTTTAACATGGTGCTTCATCAACAGCTTATGCCTGTCATGTAGCTTCTTGTTCTGCTAAGTCTGAAGTTGTCCTTTACTCAATACCATATTTTAAATCAACCTGGCTCTAGATTTGTGTCTATATGTCTGATTGGATTGAAGACAGTATGGATTTATGGCAGCCACACCGACAAGACAAACCACATTAGACAAAACACTTATTTTTCTCTCTTTTTTTTTTTTACAGGTCTATTGGTTGATTTTACAGTGAAGAATACTTTATTAATAGAACCCAAAGTGTGTGTTATTTTTTTAAAGAATTGTCACCCAGATAAGATCATGTAGGAAGAATTACTTCTTAGAGCTCTCAGTTAGACAAATAATCTAACTGTGATCCAAATGATCTCTTAACAAGTTGGCGTTTGCAGTAAGTTTATTTCACACTGGATGATTTATTTGTCTAGCAGTTGACAAGCATATGGAAATAAGAGAAGCGGCAAATCTTGGAAGTTCAGCAAATATTTAGTATTTGGCGCTTGATGAGGGACAATAACAATTAAGTGATTATCAAAATTAATATTAATAAAATGTTCTACAAATTGTTTCACCACCAAACTGCTTAGTTCCCAAAATCAGACCATTTTTTGCTTCTTTGTTTCATTTTTCCTCTTTCTTTGGAAAATAGTAAACAAACCTTTAAGTCATGCTTTATTGATTTCCTTTACAGGCTGAAGAAAATGCAGATATTGGAGGTACGATAGAGGATGAAGATGAAAGTTCAGATGACCCAAACCTTCAGGTGAGAACACCTCCACAGACCTGAAACAATTAATGCTTAGTTTTGTTTGTTTGTTTTTATAAATTATTGACTTAATAATTGCAAGTACACTCACCTCTCAGCTCCACAAGCCTTTGTGCTGTTTTACTGTTGCATTTTTTTGAGTGTGGAAAACAGAAAATGATCCTCTAAGCACTGGTTCTGGGGTTCTGGGGTTCTGGGGTTCTGTACCAAACATAGAAACCAGCAAACTTTACTCATACAATTATAACAACAACCTTTTTACCTAAAAGTGTTCAGACTACACATATTTTTGCATGATAAGAATTTCACTGGGTCAGATTAGCCAATAACATCTTGCTGCTTGCACTGAGACTATATTGTGTGATCTGGACCTTACACAAGTGTGATCTTTCATTATGTTATGGTTATGGCTATATTTTGGCTTAGGATAAAGACGCGCATACCTTTTGTGGAGACGCACCGTTCAAATTTTTTAATTGTGTTGCAGGTGGAGCTCAGTGCGTTCAGAGCTCAGTGGATGTCTGAACTCAAACCACACTCTGGAGCAAGCGGTACGAGTGAGCGGATGCTGCGAGCCAAAGGTCTAAAGAGGACACAAGACATTGCTCGGGAGGAAAAGGTAAGTTGCATAGAGAGCTCTACAAGTACTGTCCTTATGTGTATTGTATCGTGCTGTCATTGAAATCTGGGTGCTGTTGAAGGACTGACGTGAGTCACCTTCCCTCAGGCTACAGAGCTGTTTTTGAGAGCTGTTCAGGAGGAGCAGAATGGAGCTTTCTACGAGGGTATGTATGCAGAATACATGGTGATCAAAATCACCAAAGGATGAAATATTAAGATTGTTTATGTGGGAACTACGAGAAGTGACAAATGCTACAGTATGTATAACTATCAGTCATCTGAAGTTAAACATGCAAATTATTTTAGCAACAGCTGAGCATGTTTATTTGCCTCACATACAGTTCTGACATTTCTGTATGACAAACTGAAACAGGTCACAGCTTTGTTAGAGAACTTTCATTTCCTTGTTTCTGTTTAATTTGATGATTTTACTTCCAGCTATCAAATTCTACCGCATGGCTATGCAGCTTGTTCCTGACATTGAGTTTAAAATCAACTACAGCCGTCCTCCTGATGCAGACCGAGTTGGAGGAAACTAGTAAGCTGCTTTTTATTTTTGAATGTCCTCTCCTCTCTTGTCAACTAAATCTGAATGTGTAATGTTCTCTGAAATAGTCGTCCCTTAGAACACACATTTTTCGACACAACACAGAAATGATCACAGAGTTTCTCTGGTTTGCAAACATTTAAAAGTTTATCCTGCAGTGTTTTTATTTAAATTGCAGAGATAACTGGTATACAGTGCCTTGCAGAAGTTTTTGTCAACTCATGAAAAGGTTAATTACTCTTTTTTTAAAACATTTTCAAACATTTAGGATATGGAGAATATATGGATAAGAGGACTTTGATTCTCTGCCATTTTAACCTAAAACTAGGAGTAGAGAAACACATCCTCACGTACCGATTCCAAAGCTGAACAGTTGCACCCAGGTTTCAAGGAGGATCACAGACCTGGACTAAAATCTATACTCACTCCTCCACACTGATGGGAAATACATGTTTTTCCAAGATCCTTGTTTACGTCTGTCACGTAAATAATATAGCATGCTGGCTTGTATGAGAGAAAGGAATAGTCTTGTTTTTTTAACTGAACTTGCCATGGTTTATTTCTGTAGCATGGAGGACAGAGATGCTGATGGTGAGATTGAGGATCTACTTGCCTACTTTGAGCAGCAGCTCACTCTGGAGAGCGCCTTTCCAAAGATCTGCAATCATGAGCTTGAAATGACTCAGTTGCACATTTCGGGTAAAAATTGTTAATTTGTTCGACTGTAAATGCATCTCAAATCTTTTGATCATCGGCGTGTATGCTTAATGTGTTTCCTCTTATCTTTAATTGCAGCCTTGCCACGGGAAATCCTGATGTACATATTTCGCTGGGTTGTGTCAAGTGATCTGGACATGCGAGCCCTGGAGCAGCTCTCTTTAGTTTGCCGTGGGTTTTACATTTGTGCAAGGTCAGCTCCACTGTCAAAACAGATTAAATGTGTGACAGCTTGTTTGTTAACTTTTATGTTTTTGCCTCTTGGTATGGCTGATTTGAGATCGTGCAGTTGGGGACTTGAAGTTTTTGCTACACAATAATAATTAACATTCTGTTCTGTGCATATGGTTTCCGTTAACTCAGTCTTCATTCTTTATTCCAATTCTGTTTCTCTCCAGGGATCCTGAGATATGGCGTCTGGCTTGTTTAAGGGTGTGGGGACGGAACTGCACCAAGTTAGGACCGTTCAAATCCTGGAGAGCGATGTTTCTGCAAAGGCCGCGTGTCCGTTTTGATGGTAACTGTCATTTTCAAATTTGCTCCGTCATACTTTATGAGTTTTGCTCTAATATCTTATATTTCCACACCCTATGAGCCCGTAACATTCCCAGAAGTAGTTGTTTGCTAAATCACAAATTTATATCCAGGTGAAATGTATGTGGAGACATACAGTGGTCCCAAATGTCATGTTAGATTTGATTTTCTCGTGGTCAAAATACTCAGTAGGCAGCTGATCTGTTTTGGCGTTCATGATTCCATCAGTAAATACAAGTTCACCTGCAGCACTATAAGAAGAGCAGATGTTGATGCTCCCACCTTTAACTTACCCTTTTTCTGGTCAGGGTTCTTCTCCTGGCTTTCTCCCTCTCAAACTTTTTACCATTGAATCCATGTAGGCTGATTTTGGACACATTCAAAAATAAGACACGTCCCCCAAAAGATGCTGCCTTTCTGTGTGTGTGTTTTTTTGCAACCCGTTTTATTCTTTGAGCTTATGAATATTTTCCACTGTATCAATTCCCCTCTGTTGTCATACTGATTCTGTTTCGATTGGTCTGCCAACTAAGTTTTATGTGGAAACTCTTGATCTTTAAAACAATCTTTGCTGCTGTTTCTCATGGGTTTTTCTTAATATTGCTCACAGTTATGCTGTTCAAGTCCACCATTTCTGAACCCATTGGGAATATCTCCAAATATAAAAGATGAAAGGTTGAGTTTTTTTTTTTTTTTTTTTTAAGTTGAGCAGACAAACAGAGTAGTCTTTGCTTTTGCAAACAGAAAAATGCTAGAGTTTTTCCCCTGAGTTCACTTTGCTGTTTATTCCAGTAGTAAGTTTAGGTTATCACATTAACAATGTGTATCTTCCACTTGTCCAAATACTTTTTTGTTGCCATTTAGACAAGTATGTTCTTGCTCTCTTAAGTAGCAGCCTTGTTTATTTAGTATTTATTTTTGTGTTAAATTGTTTTTTCCATGCAACAAATACCAGTTTATCAAAGTTTCCTGGTCCAAACACATTTGGGAAGACTGTATCTGTTCCAAACATACGACACACTTTTGCCCCTCTGCGGTGTGAGGAGATTGCTGGAGTATTTCAGTCAGCTCCTGCAGAATTTTAAAAAAGTCAGCATGCAAAATGGGATGCCACTGAACTTAGGTTTGGTTTCAATACACAAAAACACCACATGCAGTGGAAAATTGTTGCTCCCAGTAAAATGTCTCTCTTGTAAACAGTAAAGGCTGTTCACAAGACATGTCTTTACTAACACATATTTTATAATATTCTTTGACACATATGGATGTAATATTTTTTGTATTTATTAAATCTCACTGATGCAAGTTTGAGAACTGACTAAATATTTCCATTAAAAAAAAAAAAAAAAACATGTTGGACTGATCTTAATGTTCCTTGTAGAAGTTAATACAAACCAAAGACACTGCCAATGTTCTAGCGAATCAGTTTTCTATTATTCTATTATATAGGCGTCTATATCAGCAAGACATCATACATTCGTCAAGGAGAAGAATCGCTGGATGGATTTTACAGGGCTTGGCACCATGTCGAGTACTACAGGTAAACGAATGATTTCAACTTTTGACTTTTTTGATTGTGAGTTGTTCAAGTATCCCAGCTCAGCGTTGACCCTGTCACTGCAGGTATCTCCGGTTCTTCCCTGATGGCCACGTCATCATGCTGACCACCCCCGAGGAGCCTTTGTGTGTTGTTCCCCGCTTGCGTACCAGGAACACCAGGTACACACTCTCTGTTTGCTTTACGCTCAGCTAGAACAGCCATTACAACATCAAATGTAATTTCACATATTGAGCGCCGGCACTTTTCGCAATTGTTGAAATTAGTTTCATTCCACAGGATGGATTCTGTTCTGCTCGGTCATTTCCGTCTGTCACAGGAGACAGACAATCAAACCAAAGTTTTTGCTGTTGTCTGCAAGAAAAAGGAGGAGGTGAGAAACACACCGTGGGGCATTTGGGGGCTTTGATGAACGGCAATTGTGCATTCTTCAAGTCAGTACAAATACAATTTTGCCCTCTATTTTCTTACAATGGCAATAGACACGTTTTAGGCCACAGCTTGTGGTGAAAGAGAAGAAAAATTTAACTCAAGTGAACAAATCAGATGTAGTTGAAGCACCTCTTTACCCAGTCCCCCCAGGGAAAGAAAGAAAAGTGTCATATATGATTTTTAAAAAAATGCTTACTGCAACCTCTAATATTATAATATTGATATACTAGACAATATGACTTAAAACTGTAGAATTAAATATTAGAATTTCATTATATTGGCTTATTACTGTTATTCTTAGTATTTTGTTTTTCTTTTCATGGCAGACGTTAACTTACAATTCAAGAAAGGAAAGACATATTGTAACTTGAAATGTGCTGCATTATTGCACCTATGTGGGGCTTGCAAAACGTATAATTTACATACTTAGACATTGCCTAACCAAACAATGGTAAATGCATTTTTAAAGCTGGGTGTGGTTAATTGCGCACATTACTTGTCTCGTTTCTGTTACACCACCACACTGTTGCCTTGTGTTACTTTACATTCATTTGGGTTCATGTGAGCTTTCATATAACTGATGAAGTGTGTGAACTTAATGTGTTAATACGCAGGATTGTAATCGTACACTTGGAATACAAATGACAATGACAGTCGAGTGTTTTTCTGAGTAATGTTGGGTGCAATAATCATATAAGAGATGAGGTTGATTTGTTTGTTTACATTTTTTTTTTTTAATGTTAAATCCAACATGCACTGAGAGGAAATCCTGCCTTTAATTCACAACAGTTGTGGGCTAAAATTAAAATATTCATTGTTGTACTATTCCTTGAACCAATAAGGTCATAGCTACATGTTACTGAGTGACAGAAGAGTTCTTATTTGCACTGTGGATTCAAATTTTCCCAGTCAGGGTGTCGCTTGACTTACAAATGCTCTCATTTCTTGACAGAAAGCGACCGAGTTTCAAAGGAATCGGTTCTGCAGGCGGAACCCAGCTCCGGAGGCTGAACACAGCTTCCACGTGGGACTGCATCTGTCCTCTGGAGGGCGTCAGAGTTCCAATAAGCTGGTGTGGATCCACCACTCCTGCCACATCACTTACAAGTAAGACCGCAGGCGTCCCAGTAATGATGGAAAGCAAAAATTGTTTCCCCATTGTTGTTGCAGAATTGACACTGATTATGTTTTTAGGCTGACCGGGGAAACAGTCGTCACGGCGTTTGACCTGGACAGGATGTACGCACCCTTCTTCTTTGCACGTGTGAAAAGTTACACTGCGTTCTCTGAGCAGCCTCTTTAAGCAGCTGTGAGACCTGCACGTAATCCCACAAAAACCCCAGCAGTTCAGTTCAGTTGTCATTTTAACAAAATGCATACGCCTCAGCCAGTTTAATTTGTTCTGCAGCTGGATTCTGGTGTTGCTATATGAGCCCTCATGTTTCCTACACGCGAGCATGTTACGTTTCAGGTTTATCTAATGGAATACTACTTATTTTCTGATTTCAGAAATTACAGTGATGTGCTGAAAGCTAAACTGATTAGCAACCTCTCCCACCAGATCCAAGCAATGAATGTTCATACTGTTTTTGTTTCATGGTGCACTTTCTTCCTCAAATAAACAGTGATGAACAAAATATCAGCCTCGGTGTGGTGACGTGTGACCAGGCAGGTTTTCTTTAATAGATTAGTTTGTTTACTCGTAAACAAAATGATAACTCACAGTAAAATCATAGAAAACCTGTAACACAACCTCAGTGAAAAGACATTGCAGATGTGATTTCAGACTTCTACATCATTTGTCTTGCTGAGGACACACGGGTATAATCCACGTATTACATTTTCTGGGAACTGAGCACGGACAGATCAAACAGGATTTGCAGAGGGAAAAAAATTAATGTGAAAGTTGTATTGGATTAGGCTCAAATCATTTGTGGCTTATTGAATTCACTATAGCTGGGTTTTCAAAACACCCTAAAGAAACAATAGTTTGTTGGAAATCTTTTGGGAAAATGGTAAGTTAATCCTCAGTTTGTTTTTAAACAGCTATTGCTGGATGTGTGTGAGCTCAGTGAAGGAGAGGAAGGAGGAAAACTGCACAGGAATATACAGACAAGATTAGAAAGAGTTCCACTTGACTAAATAGGATCATTTATTTCCAAGTTTTCAATGGATTTAAATGGGGAAACTTGAAAATAAATGGCCAACCACTCTAAATTGTGCAGTCCTCTCAACAAATCATGACACATTCATGATCTACTCATGCTACTATAGTTGCTATGGTGATGCACATCTGATCAAATCGGGGTCAGTGTTTTTTTTTATCACCAGAGGTCACGGTTCGGCTCTGTGATGAAGCCATGGTTTCTTTTTTTAGCTCACAGATGGTGAAATCAGTGGGAGGATGATGATAAAATCAATGACTCACGTCATACTTCCTGAAGGTCGTATCCATAAGCTGATATTGTTGTGAACACAGAAAGAGTGGCATTTTGGGCAACACATTTATTTGCTTTCTTGCAGAGAGGTTTATGAGAAGATTGAGACCACACTCACATCCATCCATTATCTATACACCGTTTAATCCTCACTAGGGTCCAAGCTGACTTAGGGCAAAGGCAGTCCATCGCAAGCACACTAACATTCACACCTACGGACAATTTAGAATCACCAATTAACCTCAACATGTTGTTGGACTGTGGGAGGAAGCCGGAGAACCCACACGGCACGGGGACAACATACACTCCACACAGGTGCCCCCCTACCCCACATGTGCATGTTAAATATGAAGCTGACAGACATTTAGCATAGCATCAAAACCTTAAATAAGGGGGAAAACAGCTAGCCTGGCTCTGAAGATAATAAAAATATGTCCGCAAGCGTGTCTACCTAACTGCTGTTTGCTTGGCAACCTTATGCTAATGGAATTAAGCAAAAAGGTGGTCTTGCCTTTGAGGTGCTATTAGGTGGATGTGATAATATTATGGACAGAGGCAAGCTGTGTTCGCCCCTTTTTCCCACCACTCTTTATGCTAAGCTAAGCTAACTATCTCTGGGTTGTACCTTCATAATATACTACAGAAATATATATGTCATTGATCTGCCCACCTTACTAGGCAAAAAAAAAGTAGTGTTGTTTATTTATTTACAAAACATTGAACTACCTATTTACTGTACAGTTTTCTCTATTAGTAGTGTTGTTGTTGGTTTTCAGTTAAAATCTGACATGAAGAAAAGTTGCTGGAAGTCAAATCACTTCTACAATCAGTTTTGAGTTAGTGGCTTTAGCCTTTTTGATAAAAAGCTGAACACGACAGCCAGAGCTAAAAACCAGATCATCAGAATTATTGAGGGAGAGAGCCAGACTCTTTCTGTTTCCACCTGTAGTCTAGCTGAAGAGACACTCAAAGTCTGACGCATGAAAAAAGAAAGAGAAAATGGACACACTGCTGTTTTCTAAGTGGATGCACTGGGAGGAAAATTGGACAATAATGATTCCTACAATGACAGGATTACAAAGAGTTCAAATAAACTAAATAAAACTGTGTTTCATTTTCAAGTTTTCAATGGATTTAAATAGGGCAACTTAGAAAAGCCTGGTCAACCACTCTAAATTGTGCAGTCCTCTCAACAAATCATGACACATTGATGATCTACTCATGCTGCCACAGTTGCTATGGCGATGCACATCTGATCAAATCGGGGTCAATGTTTCTTTATCACCAGAGGTCACAGTACAGCTCTGTGATGAAGCCATGGTTTCTATATTTAGCTCACAGATGGTGAAATTAGTGGGGGGATGATGATGAATCATTGATTCACCTGATACCTCCTGATAACCACATCCAAGAGCTGATATCCTTATATGCTTTCCTGTCGAGCCGTTTATGAGAAGATTGACTTTTGCATGTGTATGTTAAATACAGTTGAAACCAGAAGTTAATATACAGTGTATAAAAGGACAGTGTATAAAAGGATATATATATAATTTATTTTTTTCTCATTATCTGAAATTAAATGACTTAAACGTTTCCTGTTTAAGGTCAGTTACGATTACCAAAATTATTTCTATTTGCTAAATGCCAGAATAATGAGAGAGAGAATTTTTAGTTACCTTCTTCAAAGTCAGAAGTTTACATACATTTCCTTAGTATTTGATAGCATTGCCTTTAAACTGTATGACTTGGGTCAAACATTTTGGGTTTCCTTCCACAAGCTTTTCACAATAGTTTGCTGGATTCAGCCCATTCCTCCTGACAGAACTGGTGTAACTGAGTCAGGTTTATTGGCCGCCTTGCTCCACACACCTTTGCAGCTCTGCCTACAAATTTACTATAGGACTGAGATCAGGGCTTTGTGATGGCCACTCCAAAACATTGACTTTGTTGTCCTTAAGCCACTTTGCAACTAACTTGGTGGTATGTTTAGGGTCATTGTCCATTTGGTAGACCCTTTGGTGCCCAAGCTTTAACGTCCTGGCTGATGTCTTCAGATGTTGCTTCAGTATTTCCACATAATGTTCTTTCCTCATGATGCCATCTATTTAGTGAAGTGCACTAGTCCCTCCTGCAGCAAAACACCCCCACAACATGATGCTGCCACCCCCATACTTCACAGTTGGGATGGTGTTCTCAGGCTTACAAGCTTCCTCCTTTTTCCTCTAAATATAACGATGGTCATTATGGCCGAACAGTTCAATTTTAGTTTCATCAGACCACAGGACATGTCTCCAAAAATTAAGGTCTTTGTCTCTGTGTGCATTTGCAAACTGTAATCTGTCTTATTTATGTTGCTTTTGGAGTATTGTCTTCTTCCTCTCTGAGTAGCCTTTCAGCCCATGTTGGTACAGGGCTGGTTTCACTGTGGATAATGACGCTCTCTTACCAGCTTCAGCAGCATCTTCACAAGGTCTTTTGCTTTTGTTCTGGGGCTGACAAGCACATTTCACACCGAAACACTACATCTCTGGGACACAGAACCCGTTTCCTTCCTGAGCGGTATGATGGCTGGACATTCCCATGGTGTTTATACTTGTATATAATTGTTTGAACAGATGAACGTGGAAGCTTCAGGCATCTGGAAATTATACCCAAGGATGAACCAGACTTGTGGAGGTCCACAATCCTCTTTCTGATATATTGGCTGATTTCTTTACATTTTCTCATGTTGTCACAAAAGGAAGCAGTGTGTTTGAGGTGTGCCTTAAAATACATCCACAGGTTTGCCTCCAATTAACTCAAATGTTGTCACTTAACCTATCAAAAGCTTCCAAAGCCATGATATCGTCATCAGGGCTTTCCCAAATAGTTTGAAGGCACAGTAATCTTAGTGTATGTAAACTTTGAAGAAAGTAATGAGAAGTTCTCTAAAAAATCAGACAGTGAGAAAAAAGTGTATCTTTTTATACAGTGTATGTAAATTTCTGGTTTCAACTGTATGAAGCTCACGGCCATTTAGCATAGCTTAGCATTAAAACTTGTAATGGGAAGGAAACAGCTAGTCTGGCTCCGTATGAAGATGTATATTAAAAATATGTCCGCCAGCGTGTCTAAAGCTATCTTAATATGCTATTGAACATGCTTGACTTTGTTTAATTCACCCAACTGTAAAAATGCTCTGGGTTTATGGGGTTATGATCCAGATTATTGGACAGTGAGTCAGTAAATCAGTCTTATCTGCTGTTTGCTTGGCAACCTCATGGTAATAAACTGTAAGGTGTTCTTACCTTTAAATTTGCTACTAGGTGGCTCTAGTAACATGTTTGACAGATTCAGGCTGTGTTTGCGCCCGTTTCTACTCTTTATGTTAAGTTCATAATGTACCATAGGGACACATGTGCTATTGATCCTCTCATCTAACACAAGTTTTATAACAAATTTTTATTTTTTAGCAAAATATTAAACTACTCATTTACTGTACAATAAATTTTGCAGAGTTTTCTCTATTAACAGTTTTGTTGTTGGTTTACAGTTGAAATCTGACACCTAGAAAGGTTACTGGTGGTCACATCACTGCTACAGTCAGATCTGACTTAAGTGGCTAAAGCATTTTTCAGAATAATCTGAGAGCTACAGCCAGAGGTAAAAACCAGATCATCAAATGCATTGAGTGAAGGAGCCAGACTCTTTCTGTTTCCACCTGTAGTCTTGCTGAAGAGACACACAAAGTCTGACGCATCATTTTGATGAAAAAAAAAGGGAAAATGGACACATGGCTGTTTTCAGGGACAAACCTCGACGCTGCACCCCGCCCTGTCTGACTCCCTCGGGCCATGGCCTCTGAAAGTCCGTGAGTAAGGCATTGTTTGAATAGTGGCTGGCCAGCAGATATGCCACCAAAGCTCACAAACAGTCGCGCTGTCCTCTGTGTGACACAGCACTCCGGTGCATGAAGTTTGCACATAGTGCTCATGAAGAGGAGTTCGTAGCACGTAAGAGGAGAGGTCTTAGGATAGTGAAGGTGGATTACTGTCTCAACAGAGATCACTGGCTAGACAGTTGGAATGGGACAACAATACGCTGAACTTGCTCAGTGAAAACAGCTGTCAAGAGAGAAACAGCTTTATAGGAAAAAAAGCATCTGTTGGAAAATCCTGTTGCTTTTTTCTGGTCCTTACGAAACTAAATGAACTAAAACGGAGCCACATCAGGGCCACTTCTTTAGCCAAGATCAGAGTGTTATGATCAAGAATGGTAAAGATGTCTCATCATTATAAGCACAAGACCCACAAAGAGCAGGGAGCTGATGTCAGGAGTGAGGAAACAGAATAAACTGTTTTCTACTTAAAACAGCTTCATGTGTGACTGAGAACGCTTTACAGGATTTGACGCCTCACAGCAGCCTCATGTCTGCTCTCTGAAGTCAGACATGTCAGGGCCTCTTATGTAGTCTGACATGTCTGACTTCAGCCTCAATCCACAGAGACTGGATGCTTACAGTTGGACTAAAACACACAAACTGATTTATTTAATCAGTTGTGTAATTTTAGGTAGGACTACCGTGCTGATGTTATAAAGATGTATAATGATTTAAAGCTTTTAAGCAAACAATTGTTTTACAATTCCTATTACAATAAAGCATGTAGTGAATATCTTAGTTGCCAAGAGAGGATGACTACACTATCTGTCACAAATGACTTGTTTTAGTTGATCATTTAATAGGAGCTTGATTGAGTGTCTGAAGATCTTTATTTGTTCAATTTTGAAAGCACATCCTCATTTTTTCATTCATTTATTGCCAATAAACTTTGAAAATGATTTTTACAAGTCTTCATCCTATCTTGCTTTCTTGCACATATTTTTATTGCTGCCTTTCTGATAACAGGTCCAGTACTTTGCTTAACTCAGGTTGTTTTAATCATGTTATATAGATAAACTTGATTTGATTTCTTGTATCTTGCTCTAATCTTAAAGTACAATTTAGAAAATAGTTGCCATTGTATATTGTCTGCTAGAGGATGTTTAGCTTTAAAAAAAAAAAATCTGCCTCACAACATCGTAAAATAAAAAAAAATAAGATTACAGCCATGCATGCAAACAACTAATAAACTGTTAACATGACTAAAAAATATTTTCGCAAACCATAAACTGGAAAATTGATAGAACAAAATTCAAAATACGTACAAGACTGAGTGAATCCTCATCTCTGCTGTTCTTTATGCATACTTTGTCTTTAAGAAAGGAAAACAAGCTTGAAAACAAGTATGTTTACAATCTGAGTTTGTCTTTAATGTGTTACAGTGAGTAAAGCATGAGTCGCAACACGTTAACCCAGACTCTCCCCATATTTCAGAAAATATATTTATACATTATAACAGTTTAGAAAATTTGTATCTCATCACATCGCTGTATGCTCCTTTGACCTTTATCAGTTGGGGAGAAAATTAATCCTACTCTTAAATATATAAACCTTCAGCGCTTCCACCTTGTACAAAGGATGAACTGCAGCAGGTATGTAGCTGGAAATAAACTTAAAAAAAAAAAAGAAAAGAAAAACACACACACACAAAACTACTGAGTGGTTCCTGTATGTTAACCAGGTTTGTGTAATTATCTGTAGACCCGATTCATTGAGCAGAGAAAATGTTGATTTTTATGTCTGTTGCAGTGAGCGTGACTGCTGTTCATCTATACATTTTAACAACATTAAATTAAATCAGCGCATTAGAGCAGTGCAGCATTCCCTGTGTATGGCCCTGGCAGCAGTCTAGGTAACAAGAACAATAACATAATAATGAACACAAAGAAATAAATAGTTTCATTATAACCTGTTTCGTCCATCAAAAACAATTCTTGGAAAATGTCTACGGAATACTTCAGCATATGAACAAACTAGTTTGCTGCCTTGCTCATGTCAATAAGCTAAATATGAAGCTGCAGCCGAGCATAAAGACTAGAAACACTGGGAAACAACTTGCATTAAGATCTCAAGCGAGCAGTGTAGGCGGATTTAATTACCTTTGAACGCAGACTTCAATCTATTTCCCTGTTTCCAGCCTTTATGCTAATCTAATACACTATAAATTCATTATCATGTATCATTTGTTAAAAATGATCATTTAGGACATTTGACGAGTTCAACAAAGTAAAGATTCAGGCACAGGATTTGAGCAGGAGGTCTGACACGTGTTGGTCTTAAATGGACCAACGTTAGGCGACTGAAAAGATGAAAACTGCTACATTAAAACCAAATCAGCCGGTTCAGAAGGCACCCTATTAATGTAAAGACTAAATAAAGTGTAGTATTTGTTTGTTTCACATGATGTCCTCAGTGATGGGGTTTTACCAAGCTGTCAATGAGTTAGAGATGTTTCCATTTCTATATTTTCTATTATATACTACTGAGCAAAAACCATTTGTTAAAGACCATGTGTTGATCAAAAGTCCTATCTGATCTACTAAATGAACCTTGTGGTAAGACTGCTTTATTTTAACAGGTCAATAGTGAGCTCTCATTCTTAACTACATACTAAAGTTTATCTGAATATAAAGTATTAGCACTGAATCATACAATATGATTATATTCACTTGATAAATTTAATACCTATTAGTTACCAATAAGCAGCTGCACTGCAGACCTAACGGGCATGGCCTTATTAGATTAAAATAAATACATTTCATGTCCTAAAAGCTACAATAGACATAACACAGTGTGAAAGGAGATTTCTGTCACACTGTTGTTAAGGAGAACTGACTTTATATTGTGCTTATGAAACACAGCAGCTGTCCTTTCACACTGTCTTAAAACTGTTTTTTTTCATATGAATCCGAGCATTTGCGGCGCGCTATGCTTTGGTTATGCTTTGTTCAGATGGCTAAATATTCCAACCCTGGAGTCCCTGCTCTGCAAATATATCTGCAAAATGTCATTTCAGCCGTTACACTTTGTCAATGAAAATGAATTACAGCATTGCAGAGAGCAAAATTTTTGGATTATGCAACCGCACAGGGTGGAGCGGCATAAAGCAATACACAAGATGCGTACTCTAGTTACACATTAAGTAGAGAGCAGTGTGTTCCTTAACTGTCCCTTAGGTTGACGTCATCTAGTGTGAGCAAACCTTGGACCTTCCATCACTGCACGAGTCTCGATGTGTTTTTTTTTGTTTGTTTGCTGGTAACAAGAAAGAGATTTTTGCTTTAGATTATCTCTAGAGGGTGGGGAAGGCAATACTGTACAGTGTCAACCATACTACAATACTTATCTCCTTTAATTCTATTAATTTCATAATTCAGTACCATGAGTAGTAATGTGTGCAAAAACATGGAAAGTCTCTGGATACATGAGGCTATGGCTTATTTCGTCTGAAGTGAGTGCTAGACTATTCTAGATAAGAAGATACATACACCTCCTAGCAGCATTGGCTAACACGCTACAGTGTGAGTTGGGCGACGGCTTTCTCAAATGTCAATCCACCCTCAGTTTCTTGGCTGCGGTGCGATCCATCGATGGCGTCCCGTTCGCGTGTCCGTTTGTCGACGCGGTGGAGCCGTTCTGGTGCTCCTTTTTTAGAGAACCGCTGTGCTTCTTGTAAGTCTGGCGTGACATAAAGAAAGGCAGAAAAGCATGTTGTTACATATAATGGTAAAAGTACAAACTGAATTAGACCAACAGGTTGCTTCATCGTTTTCACATCTCTGTTTATTGCACACTTGAGGTAGTTTAGATACAGTGTCTTCATCATCATGCAGTTTGTCCACCAGAGACCACTGAAGTTTATTCTCCACCTCTAACGTTTCCTGATTGTTACATAACTTGGGTCACCATTCCTTAAAAATACATATTTAAGGATTTAAGGATGCAACATGTGATAGTATTTGTTAATGGAAAAAAACTATCAACCAATATTAAAAATTTTAAAAAATTGAATGTCAACTTGACTATAAGCAAACTCAATAAGCCTGCAAGTAGCAACAGAACCAGTTTTATTTATAATACAATGAATAATGCTGGTTTTGTTCTTCATTATAGTCAACTGGAAAATACTAAAACAACCAGTGTAAGCCCAATTATTCTTTAATGAAAATCACAGCACAGTTTTAAAGTTTGATTGTTAGCGAACAGCCATTGTCTTTGCCATTTTCTACAACAGCTGACCACTGTACACAAACAGGTATGAATGGTGCATCTGTTGGAGACTAAATTCAGCTGCAGATTTAATTTGGTGACACAAGTATCTGCAGCAACAGGACGGAGTGTGTGCGATTGTTGGTGCCACTTTGAGTTGTGGTTTACTGATTTTTAAATAGTTTTTGGACAACAATAGAGATCTGGCAGAAAGAAATACAATATATCAGGCTTTGCCTCCAAAGAAAATACTTGTGAGCAGGATCAATCCATTGTTGGTTTTAATCTTTATATAGGATTTGCTGTCCTTTAAATTTATCATTTTAAAGCTTAAAATAGAAAAACAACTGACCTGAATGTAGAAGTTTGAGAAAAGGATAATGAGCGTGACCATGTAACTTATTTGGAAATACAGCCATCCCATTGGGAAACCACACGGCCACACGACTGCACACATTGTCTGGGACATGGTTAAAAAGAACTGGATCTGTGGAGGAGACATGCAAATACATGTGAGAGTGAGAAGGTGACACACAGAGAGTTTATGGAAAAGGTAAGACTGATCCAGAGACTAACATATCTTGGATGGACATGAAAAATATCTGTCATGTATTAAAATTAAAGACGATACAGCACAAAATAGTTTAAGCAGGTTCACAACATAGGAGGAGTGTAACTATCAGCACATACAAATCAAAGGACAAAAACGGAAAATGCATTTTTCAACTGTTTTAGAATCATGAATACTGAAAATGTTAATAGATGAAGTTATTAAGTTTATTTATAATGAAGAAAAAAATCATACCAAAATAACAATTTGTTCAATTCAAATGCAAAAACCTGCTTCTCATCAGGTTATTTTAGTCTATAGTCGAGGTCCTGAAGTCTTTTTGAATAAAGGTGAAAACAATGGCACCACAATGAGAATACTTATTTTCAAAGCAGTTCTAAACATGTTTTCTAATTCTTGTACAACAATATTGTTCTCATTTCAAGGTAGAAGCTCTCCTTTAAAACAAACATTTAAAAGTAAAAACTGGTTAAGGACGGTATTGCTACCGCACTGACAGATTTATTTATTTTTTTGTTGTTGAGAAAATTACACTTTAAGTAAGTAATTACAGAATACAGCGAGTTTTTAAACCCCCACCTCCAATATAACATGGAATATATACACGCAGAATGAAAATGCAGGAGTTTCACTTATAATTGAGCATTTTTAAAAAATATTTTCCCACAGCCCTGTTGCTCTTTTTACTTCATTAGGAATCAGAATCGGAATACTCTCTCCCACCACTGAGAGGAACCTAACGGATGTGAACCCACCAGCTGAAACTGTGTGATGTACTTCTTCCACCAAAGGTACGGCCGGATGGCAGGAACGGCTGAGAGGCCGTAGTAAGAATACATCACGACGTGGACGAAGCTGTTTAGGGAGGCACCGAAGTACGCTGACGAGAAGAGAAACAAGGGAAATTATTCATCTACGGGTGAGTGACGGGCATTCAGCGATGCAATCATCAGCCAGGGAGCAACACACTTCTCATGAATCTGTTCTGTTTGCAGCAATCACTACAGATTTTATGTCAGCTCAAGAGAAGCCTTTGGCAGTAAAGAAATGCAGAAATAATGCAGTGAACACCTGATAAATAACAAAACAAGTTTAAAGGTTATTATATTTACATCAATAGTACAATGATTGGAAGGTCAGCAGTTCGATTCTGCTCTGTAACCTGTGTCATGGTCGTTGTGTCCTTAGGCGAGACACTTCACCCACCTTGCCTGGTGTGAATACGTATAAATGGATAGTTTGAGGTGGTGGACGGAGGGGCCATAGGTGCAGAATGGCAGCCACACCTCTGTCAGTCTGCTCCAGGGCAGCTGTGGCTACAATCGTAGCTACCACCACCAGAATGAATATGTGTGAATGAGTAATTGACAGTGTAAAGCGTGTTTGAGTGTTTTGAGCTATATAAACCTAATCATTTATTATAATTATTATTATTATCATTAATGAAGAGGGTTGGTAATGATTTTCAGGAGAATCTGAGTGCTTCCTGCTGCTGTGTTGTTCTATAATACAGCAAAAAAAGCACACAACTTTGTCAGACATTGCCGCGGTGCTCAGGTCAGTAAGTGTCGCTTTGTGTCCTTTAAGGCTTTGTGGAGGAAAACAGGCTGTTTTTAAAGGCTAATGGGTTTAACATTAGAGCAATTGAATTATTTAGCTCACTGTGAGGCCAAATAGCAAATGTGGTTACCAGAATGACTTGAGTCACTGGAGGGTAAACTTGTGTAAAACACTCACAATGGCCACAGGGCACCCAGTTCATAACGAACCACCAGATGTTCAGCATGCTGGCGTGGTGGTAGATGTGCAGAAAGGTGATCTGGTGGTTATTTTTTCGTAGTATGAAGAAAAATGTGTCCATGAACTCGATGAGCTTGGAGAAGTAGTACCACCACAGGACGTTTATGATCTGAGAGGAGACAAAATAAAAATGTTCACGAAAGAAAAGAAAATAATAAAAAACGTCCTGCATACTCCCGCAGAGCACGACATAGAGATAAAACAGCAGAAAAGTTCCCGTTAAAGTCACACACCCCCCACAGAAACGCGCTATTTATCATTCAAGGTGATAAGCAGACATCTGTCCCGAAGGCCCTTGAATATCCAGGAGGAATCATAAAGCAGTTTAACTGTCTGTAGCAGTGACACGTTGATAAAACTTTTTTATTTAATCACCGCAGAACTGCAAAGCCATGCACATTTCACTGTGAGCCTTGTTTTCACCTCCACTGCAGAGCTCAGGAGGGGCACTGAAGAGAGTCAGTGTAATGACACGGATCGGATTAAACTGACTCCCTGCCTCTGTAGCTTATCTGCTGGGATTTACAGGTACCTGCCCATAAAAATTAAAGAAAAAAAATACTCACATTTTTGCCTGTTATTAAATATATATTCTGCGTGCTAAACAGAAATGAGTGTTGATGTTCAGAATAACAAGAAACAGAATGGGTCATCATGTACTTTGGAGGGAAATTATGTCAAATATACAACAACAGGAAACAAGAAAACACCCAGCAATGAACCATAAAAAGGTTGACTGACCTTATTATCTACTTCTTGTGCACTGTGTGTGTCCTGGCAGTAGAAGTTGTAGCCGCCATGCCACACAGCCGTAACAAGCTGCAGACAAAGCCATTAAAATTAATGATGAATGGATATTTTTTTTTACAGACGCTGCCATGCACAAATGCAGTATAAAAGTAAAACTTCAAAAGTTTGATGTTGTCAAATGGGTTTTTTTCTTCTCTTTCCTTGAAATAAAAAACAACACATGCCCAAACAAATGCACAGATAACAAGACAGACAAACAGATCGGGTGTGCCAGGTTGCCATGACCGGTCTTTGGCCGCTGACATTGGCTTTAAGCATTTAATCTAAATAACAGATAATGTTTAAAGGTCTTCAGGTCAACATGTATTATCACAGAGCGTGCTGGAAACTGCTTCATCTGCTATTACTGTAATTTCTCTAGGAATTTCTAAATTGAATACAGCATATCAACCACCTAAAACTCTGCATGCCTGTGCAGTGACCATGAAATTTAAACTCCGGCGATTCATTATTACACTTCTGTCAAGTCAGAGAACATGTTAAAACAGATTTTACAAGGAATGTATGCAGCAGAGGGTATCATGTACTGACTTTTTAGACCTGATTTCTCATGTCTTTGTGCTGGTTTTTTCTGTGTGTCAAAGGATTTATTTGAATAATTACTGTTTGTTTGCAAAGGCCGAATGATTTGAGGCCAAAACATATTTCTGATCTGCTGCTGTGTTACGTAAAATCCAGATCATCAGGGACAGGCCTGTTTACTGTCCCAGGAGTCAAAACTAAACATAGAGAAGCCACCTTTAATTCCTGTGCACTGCACAAGTGGAGCAACCACCCAGAAAACATTATTTGCCACTGCCCTACCTACCTCTACTAAATCAAATGTAGTATTATTTATATAATCCCCTTTTGTACGTGTCTCTTTAGATTTGTCTTTTGTTGCTTATAAATCTTGTTTTAATGCCCTTTGAATAAACATTCAAATGCACGTAGATGGCTTTGCTTAACGCTGACTCACCAAATCAATATAGATCTGCGTCTTTGTCTGCTGCTGTAAAAGGCTCTGCTAACTAACCATAGAGCCAAGAAACTGCCAATGAACTAGCAGCAGAATGAAGCTTGTTCAGTCTCATCATGTGTGCACACAGACGTTCATGCTTTCTCTAACCTCATATATTCTCCTCGATTCTTTCAGGAAGCTTACAGTTGCATAGTCAGCACATGGACAAACAAAATTAATCACAATTACTGTGTGATTAACCGCTGTGCCCTGGAAGGTTGACAAAGAACAAAACCGCCCTGTACTTTGATTCACATCAGGTGACATTGATTTTGGACTGACAAAAGTTCACCCCACGGCTGGAGCTTTGTCAAGAGTACAGGGTTTAATGGATCCTGCAGCCAGCAGTCCACTGGGGGCCTTACACAATGCAGAGGGACAGACAAGAAGCTTGTTCTGCCGGCTTCATTGGGAGGAGAGTAGAGATACTTTACACGTGCGCCGAAACACTACGTCTGGCTCCGGCGTCCTCGTGTTCACGGTGCACAAAACAACAGATACTATCACCGACGAGGGAAGTCTGTCGCTAAACTCCTGCTCAGACTGTGCCACCTTGCCAAATAAGAATGCATTTCCGTGTTTGTTTACATCGGTGCATCTATCAATTTCAGTTGCTTCGTCAGCTGTTTATGAAAAAGCATTTTTCCAGCAAACAATAGTGAGCTGTGCTGATGTCTGCGAGGGCATATGAGGGATTTGATGACTGGAACAATGAGCCTGTCAGCATTCAGCTGTGTCCCACTCGCTCCCTGATAGCATTGTCTCCTGGGGCAGCTTTCAGCTCGAGACGCCGGCAGCCGCAGGCCCGTTTCTAATCAGAGTCAAGCGTTGACGAAGTAGTTCAACGTTTTTCTAGCTGAGTCAGCTTAGGAGGGTTGATACTGCTCCCACGTGCGACTGTTGAAGCTGAGGCTATTGTCAAGTTAGCGTGAAGAGCTTAGCGAGAAAAAGGAACGGACAATTACGTAAAAGCTGACAATTGACACAAATCTAAGAATTGTGATTTTGATCAATATCATTTA